AGGCACTGTGTCAGGTGTTGTGACCTGTGTACCTGATACTGTATCAGGTATTGTGACCTGTGTAGGCACTGTGTCAGGTGTTGTGACCTGTGTACCTGATACTGTGTCAGGTGTTGTGGCCTGTGTATCTTGACACTGTGTGTGTGTACTCACCTATTTGTGGTTGTAGGGGTCGAGTCTTAGCTCCTGGCCCCGCCTCTTCACCGGTTGCTACTGGGTCCTCTCTCTCCCGCTCCATGAGCTTTATCATACCTCGTCTTAAAACTATGTATGGTTCCTGCCTCCACTACATCACTTTCTAGGCTATTCCACGGCCTGACAACTCTATGACTGAAGAAATACTTCCTAATATCTCTCTGACTCATCTGTGTCTTCAACTTCCAATTGTGACCTCTTGTTTCTGTGTCCCCTCCCTCGAACATCCTGTCTTTGTCCACCTTGTCTATTTCACGCAGTATTTTGTATGTCGTTATCATGTCTCCTTTAACCCTCCTGTCCTCCAGTGTCGTCAGGGCGATTTCCCTTAACTTTTCTTCGTAGGACATTCCCCCTTAGCTCTGGAACTAGCCTTGTGGCAAACCTTTCCAGTTTCTCTAATTTCTTGATGTGATTGACCCGGTGCGGGTTCCAAACAGGTGCTGCATACTCCAGTATGGGCCTGACGTACTCGGTGTACAGTGTCTTGAACGATTCCTCACTAAGGTATCGGAACGCTATTGTCAGGTTTGCCAGGCACCCATATTCTGCAGCAGTTATCTGGTTGATGTGTGCTTCCGGAGACATGCTCGGTGTTATACTCACTCCAAGATCTTTCTCCTTGAGTGAGGTTTGCAGTCTTTGGCCACCTAGCCTATACTCTGTCTGCGGTCTTCTTTGCCCTTCCCCTATCTTCATGACTTTGCATTTGGCGGGATTAAATTCGAGAAGCCAGTTGCTGGACCAGGTGTCCAGGTCTCTTTGTAGTCCTGCCTGACACTGTGTGTGTGTCAGGTGTTGTGACCTGTGTACCTGACAGTGTGTGTGTCAGGTGTTGTGACCTGTGTACCTGACAGTGTGTGTGTGTCAGGTGTTGTGACCTGTGTACCTGACAGTGTGTGTGTGTCAGGTGTTGTGACCTGTGTACCTGACACTGTGTGTGTGTCAGGTGTTGTGACCTGTGTACCTGACAGTGTGTGTGTGTGTCAGGTGTTGTGACCTGTGTACCTGACAGTGTGTGTGTGTCAGGTGTTGCGACCTGTGTACCTGACACTGTGTGTGTGTGTCAGGTGTTGTGACCTGTGTACCTGACTGTGTGTGTCAGGTGTTGTGACCGGTGTACCTGACACTGTGTGTGTGTGTCAGGTGTTGTGACCTGTGTACCTGACACTGTGTGTGTGTCAGGTGTTGTGACCTGTGTACCTGACACTGTGTGTGTGTCAGGTGTTGTGACCTGTGTGCCTGACACTGTGTGTGTGTCAGGTGTTGTGACCTGTGTACCTGACACTGTGTGTGTGTCAGGTGTTTTGACCTGTGTACCTGACACTGTGTGTGTCAGGTGTTGTGACCTGTGTACCTGACACTGTGTGTGTGTCAGGTGTTGTGACCTGTGTACCTGACAGTGTGTGTGTGTCAGGTGTTGTGACCTGTGTACCTGACTGTGTGTGTGTCAGGTGTTGTGACCTGTGTACCTGACAGTGTGTGTGTGTGTCAGGTGTTGTGACCTGTGTACCTGACACTGTGTGTGTGTCAGGTGTTGTGACCTGTGTACCTGACAGTGTGTGTGTGTCACGTTGTGACCTGTGTACCTGACTGTGTGTGTGTCAGGTGTTGTGACCTGTGTACCTGACTGTGTGTGTGTCAGGTGTTGTGACCTGTACTCACCTATTCACCTATTTGTACTCACCTATTTGTGGTTGCAGGGGTCGATTCACAGCTCCTGGCCCCGCCTCTTCGCTGATTGCTACTAGGTCCTCTCTCTCCCTGCCCCATGAGCTCTATCATACCTCGCCTTAAAACTATGTATGGTTCCTGCCTCCACCACATCACTTTCTAGGCTATTCCATGGCCTGACTACTCTATGACTGAAGAAATACTTCCTAACATCCCTTTGATTCATCTGAGTCTTCAACTTCCAATTGTGACCTCTTGTGTCTGTGTCCCATCTCTGGAACATCCCGTCTGGAACATCCCGTCTTTGTCCACCTCGTCTATTCCGCGCAGTATTTTATATGTCGTTATCATGTCTCCCCTGACCCTCCTGGCCTCCAGTGTCGTCAGGCCGATTTCCCTCAACCTTTCTTCATAGGACAATCCCCGTAGCTCTGGGACTAGTCTTGTTGCAAACCTTTGTGTGTGTGTGTGTGTGTGTGTGTGTGTGTGTGTGTGTGTGTGTGTGTGTGTGTGTGTGTGTGTGTGTGTGTGTGTGTGTGTGTGTGTGTGTGTATGTGTACTCACCTAGTTGAGGTTGCGGGGGTCGAGTCCGAGCTCCTGGCCCCGCCTCTTCACTGATCGCTACTAGGTCACTCTCCCTGAGCCGTGAGCTTTATCATACCTCTGCTTAAAGCTATGTATGGATCCTGCCTCCACTACATCGCTTCCCAAACATATTCCACTTACTGACTACTCTGTGGCTGAAGAAATACTTCCTAACATCCCTGTGATTCATCTGTGTCTTCAGCTTCCAACTGTGTCCCCTTGTTACTGTGTCCAATCTCTGGAACATCCTGTCTTTGTCCACTTTGTCAATTCCTCTCAGTATTTTGTATGTCGTTATCATGTCCCCCCTATCTCTCCTGTCCTCCAGTGTCGTCAGGTTGATTTCCCTTAACCTCTCCTCGTAGGACATACCTCTTAGCTCTGGGACTAGTCTTGTTGCAAACCTTTGCACTTTCTCTAGTTTCTTCACGTGCTTGGCTAGGTGTGGGTTCCAAACTGGTGCCGCATACTCCAATATGGGCCTAACATACACGGTGTACCTGTGTACCTGACACTGTGTGTGTCAGGTGTTGTGACCTGTGTACCTGACACTGTGTGTGTGTCAGGTGTTGTGACCTGTGTGCCTGACACTGTGTGTGTGTCAGGTGTTGTGACCTGTGTACCTGACACTGTGTGTGTCAGGTGTTGTGACCTGTGTACCTGACACTGTGTGTGTGTCAGGTGTTTTGACCTGTGTACCTGACACTGTGTGTGTGTCAGGTGTTGTGACCTGTGTGCCTGACACTGTGTGTGTGTCAGGTGTTGTGACCTGTGTACCTGACACTGTGTGTGTCAGGTGTTGTGACCTGTGTACCTGACACTGTGTGTGTGTCAGGTGTTGTGACCTGTGTACCTGACACTGTGTGTGTCAGGTGTTTTGACCTGTGTACCTGACACTGTGTGTGTGTGTCAGTTGTGACCTGTGTACCTGACAGTGTGTGTGTCAGGTGTTGTGACCTGTGTACCTGACAGTGTGTGTGTGTCAGGTGTTGTGACCTGTGTACCTGACAGTGTGTGTGTGTCAGGTGTTGTGACCTGTGTACCTGACACTGTGTGTGTGTGTCAGGTGTTGTGACCTGTGTACCTGACACTGTGTGTGTGTCAGGTGTTGTGACCTGTGTACCTGACTGTGTGTGTGTCAGGTGTTGTGACCTGTGTACCTGACACTGTGTGTGTCAGGTGTTGTGACCTGTGTACCTGACTGTGTGTGTGTCAGGTGTTGTGATCTGTGTACCTGACACTGTGTGTGTGTCAGGTGTTGTGACCTGTGTACCTGACACTGTGTGTGTCAGGTGTTGTGACCTGTGTACCTGACACTGTGTGTGTGTCAGGTGTTGTGACCTGTGTACCTGACACTGTGTGTGTCAGGTGTTGTGACCTGTGTACCTGACAGTGTGTGTGTGTGTCAGGTGTTGTGACCTGTGTACCTGACACTGTGTGTGTGTCAGGTGTTGTGACCTGTGTACCTGACAGTGTGTGTGTGTGTCAGGTGTTGTGACCTGTGTACCTGACACTGTGTGTGTGTCAGGTGTTGTGACCTGTGTACCTGACAGTGTGTGTGTGTCAGGTGTTGTGACCTGTGTACCTGACACTGTGTGTGTGTGTCAGGTGTTGTGACCTGTGTACCTGACACTGTGTGTGTGTCAGGTGTTGTGACCTGTGTACCTGACTGTGTGTGTGTCAGGTGTTGTGACCTGTGTACCTGACACTGTGTGTGTCAGGTGTTGTGACCTGTGTACCTGACTGTGTGTGTGTCAGGTGTTGTGATCTGTGTACCTGACACTGTGTGTGTGTCAGGTGTTGTGACCTGTGTACCTGACACTGTGTGTGTCAGGTGTTGTGACCTGTGTACCTGACACTGTGTGTGTGTCAGGTGTTGTGACCTGTGTACCTGACACTGTGTGTGTGTCAGGTGTTGTGACCTGTGTACCTGACAGTGTGTGTGTGTGTCAGGTGTTGTGACCTGTGTACCTGACACTGTGTGTGTGTCAGGTGTTGTGACCTGTGTACCTGACAGTGTGTGTGTGTGTCAGGTGTTGTGACCTGTGTACCTGACACTGTGTGTGTGTCAGGTGTTGTGACCTGTAGACTGAAAGTCTGTCAGACTGACGTTGTTCAACACCGTTGTTCTGCACTGTTGTTCAGCACTGTTGTTCAACACCGTTGTTCAGCACTGTTCAACACCGTTGTTCAACACTGTTGTTCAACACTGTTGTTCAACACCGTTATTCAGCACTGTTGTTCAACACCGTTGTTCAGCACTGTTGTTCAACACCGTTGTTCAACACCGTTGTTCAGCACTGTTCAACACCGTTGTTCAGCACTGTTGTTCAGCCCTGAGCACTTCAGAAAGTGACATGTTAAGCGCAAGTCATGTCAGTCATGGAGGTGAAGGTGAACAAGTGAACTGCCAGCCATCTGAACACTCATTCTCTCACGCTGTTCACCTGCTCTTGATCCCAGGAGGTGGAACAGGAACACCTCACTCCCAGCTGCTGGGTGTCCCTTGCGGGTTTACCGTGCTTCCAATGTACTTTTTTTTATTACAGTACTGAGGCAGGATGGGCGTACGGGCGTGGGCGTGGGCGTGGGTGGTGTTGGTGGGAGTGATCCACCTGCCTGTGAGTGCTGGCGATTGTCAAGAATATTTTAAGTTTCCAAGTGAGAACCATCCATCATTGGTGAGTGAATAACAACATGAGGGAAGAGCACTGCAGGAGGCCTACTAGCCCATATTAGGCAGGTTCTTCTCAGTCACAAACCCACTAACATAAATATTCACCCCAACCCATTATCAATGTTACCCAAGGAACAAGATAACTTTGTTAACAAGTCCCACTCACAACCCCTCTCATGTACAAGTCCCACTCACAACCCCCTCTCATGTACAAGTCCCACTCACAACCCCTCTCATGTACAAGTCCCACTCACAATCCCTCTCATGTACAAGTCCCACTCACATACAACCCCTCTCATGCACAAGTCCCACTCAAATACAACCCCTCTCATGTACAAGTCCCACTCAAATACAACCCCTCTCATGTACAAGTCCCACTCACATACAACCCCTCTCATGTACAAGTCCCACTCAAATACAACCCCTCTCATGTACAAGTCCCACTCAAATACAACCCCTCTCATGTACAAGTCCCACTCACATACAACCCCTCTCATGCACAAGTCCCACTCAAATACAACCCCTCTCATGTACAAGTCCCACTCAAATACAACCCCTCTCCATTCATCCACTACTAGGTAGACTGTTCCACTCATCCACTACTAGGTAGAGTGTTCCACTCATCCACTACTAGGTAGACTGTTCCACTCATCCACTACTAGGTAGACTGTTCCACTCATCCACTACTAGGTAGACTGTTCCACTCATCCACTACTAGGTAGACTGTTCCACTCATCCACTACTAGGTAGACTGTTCCACTCATCCACTACTAGGTAGACTGTTCCACTCATCCACTACTAGGTAGACTGTTCCACTCATCCACTACTAGGTAGACTTTTCCACTCATCCACTACTAGGTAGACTGTTCCACTCATCCACTACTAGGTAGACTGTTCCACTCATCCACTACTAGGTAGACTGTTCCACTCATCCACTACTAGGTATACTGTTCCACTCATCCACTACTAGGTAGACTGTTCCACTCATCCACTACTAGGTAGACTGTTCCACTCATCCACTACTAGGTAGACTGTTCCACTCATCCACTACTAGGTATACTGTTCCACTCATCCACTACTAGGTAGACTGTTCCACTCATCCACTACTAGGTAGACTGTTCCACTCATCCACTACTAGGTAGACTGTTCCACTCATACACTACTAGGTAGACTGTTCCACTCATCCACTACTAGGTATACTGTTCCACTCATCCACTACTAGGTAGACTGTTCCACTCATCCACTACTAGGTAGACTGTTCCACTCATCCACTACTAGGTAGACTGTTCCACTCATACACTAATAGGTAGACTGTTCCACTCATCCACTACTAGGTAGACTATTCCACTGATCCACTACTAGGCAGACTGTTCCACTCATCCACTACTAGGTAGACTGTTCCACTCATCCACTACTAGGTAGACTGTTCCACTCATCCACTACTAGGTAGACTGTTCCACTGATCCACTACTAGGTAGACTGTTCCACTCATCCACTACTAGGTAGACTGTTCCACTCATCCACTACTAGGTAGACTGTTCCACTCATCCACTACTAGGTAGACTGTTCCACTCATCCACTACTAGGTAGACTGTTCCACTCATCCACTACTAGGTAGACTGTTCCACTCATCCACTACTAGGTAGACTGTTCCACTCATCCACTACTAGGTAGACTGTTCCACTGATCCACTACTAGGTAGACTGTTCCATTCATCCACTACTAGGTAGACTGTTCCACTCATCCACTACTAGGTAGACTGTTCCACTCATCCACTACCAGGTTGACTGTTCCATTCATCCACTACAAGGTAGACTGTTCCACTGATTCACTACTAGGTAGACTGTTCCACTCATCCACTACTAGGTAGACTGTTCCACTCATCCACTACCAGGTTGACTGTTCCATTCATCCACTACAAGGTAGACTGTTCCACTGATCCACTACTAGGTAGACTGTTCCACTCATCCACCACTAGGTAGACTGTTCCACTCAACCACTACTAGGTAGACTGTTCCACTCATCCACTACTTGGTAGACTGTTCCACTCATCCACTACTAGGTAGACTGTTCCACTCATTCACTACTAGGTAGACTATTCCACTCATCTACTACTAGGTAGACTGTTCTACTGATCCATTTCTAGGTAGACTGTTCCACTGATCCACTACTAGGTAGACTGTTCCACTCGTCCACTACTAGGTAGACTGTTCCACTCATCCACTACTAGGTAGACTGTTCCACTCATCCACTACTAGGTAGACTGTTCCACTCATCCACTACTAGGTAGACTGTTCCTCTCATCCACTACTAGGTAGACTGTTCCACTCATCCACTACTAGGTAGACTGTTCCACTGATCCACTACTAGGTAGACTGTTCCACTCATCCACTACTAGGTAGACTGTTCCACTCATCCACTACTAGGTAGACTGTTCCACTCATCCACTACTAGGTAGACTGTTCCACTGATCCACTACTAGGTAGACTGTTCCACTCATCCACTACTAGGTAGACTGTTCCACTGATCCACTACTAGGTAGACTGTTCCACTCATCCACTACTAGGTAGACTGTTCCACTGATCCACTACTAGGTAGACTGTTCCATTCATCCACTACTAGGTAGACTGTTCCACTCATCCACTACTAGGTAGACTGTTCCACTCATCCACTACCAGGTTGACTGTTCCATTCATCCACTACAAGGTAGACTGTTCCACTGATTCACTACTAGGTAGACTGTTCCACTCATCCACTACTAGGTAGACTGTTCCACTCATCCACTACTAGGTAGACTGTTCCACTCATCCACTACTAGGTAGACTGTTCCACTCATCCACTACTAGGTAGACTGTTCCACTCATTTATGAATATACGTTCTTCCTGTTTTTTCTTGTCTCCTGTATGATTCTTAAGCTCAAGTTAGACATTTCCTATTTCTCTGGCCAGTGCCTCCCTTCGTATTTCAGATATACTGTCCCCTTTCAGCAGCTCTGTGATTTTTCGCCTTCGCCTGTATAGGGAGCGTCTCTCTCTTTCTAGTTTACATCTTCTCTTCTTATTTCTTATAGGAATGTGCCTTAAGCATACTTCAAGTGCCACAGAGTTAATTCTTTCTAGTCAAAGGTTTGGATCCGTGTTGTTTAAGATACTGTATCAACTTTTTTATTAAAGACATGTTTAATTTAATCTTGGTTGATAGTCTTATTATCAAAATTGCACACACAATACACGAATAACCCGCACATAAAAGAGAGAAGCTTACGACGACTTTTCGGTCCGACTTGGACCATTGACAAAGTCACACTAACCAGAAGTGGAGCAGGACGGCTATATATAGGCAGGAAGTGGTGGTGGTGGTAGTAGTAGTAGTAGTACAAGAATGATTATTTATCAAAATTGATTTTGGTGAAGGAACGATCATGACTGATCTCATTTTGCTGGTCATAACTTCTATGTATAACAGTCTGAACTTAGATTATGTTGTGATATGAATTAATTGTTTTTAATACTGTTATATTCCGTAGCAAATGATCATTATTAATGAAGTTAAGGTCCAATGTATTTTCCACTTTTGTTAGCTCCAATATTTGCTGGCTTAAGGTGAATTTGCTGCAGAGATTTAACAGCTCATGTGTGTGTGAATCTGAGCTGTCTCCTGGGGTGATCTCTGTTATAACATTATTTGATGCCTTGACATCATGATTGGCCCGGTGGCCTGGTGGCTAAAGCTCCCGCTTCACACACGGAGGGCCCGGGTTCGATTCCCGGCGGGTGGAAACATTTCGACACGTTTCCTTACACCTGTTGTCCTGTTCACCTAGCAGCAAATAGGTACCTGGGTGTTAGTCGACTGGTGTGAGTCGCATCCTGGGGGACAAGATTAAGGACCCCAATGGAAATAAGTTAGACAGTCCTCGATGACGCACTGACTTGGGTTATCTTATCATCTCTGTTGACAGTTTGATGGTAAATGGGTGACTGTTGCCAGCACCAGGAGACTTATGCCTTGCCACACTCTACACTTCTCTCAGAATGGATCTGTAAGTATAGTCTATTGTCTATTTTAACTCTTATAGTCTATTGTCTATTTTAACTCTTATAGTCTATTGTCTATCTTAACTAACTCGACTCTTATAATCTATTGTCTATCGTAATTAACTGTCAACTTTGTAATTAAAGCTTAATTAACATAGCTGACGAAACAGTTACCAAAGATGCCTTCCCAGTCGATGCCTGACCCATACATGTTGAGGGCTTCCCCCTCTGTATATGTGTAATGTGTTACAGAGAGTGGTGTATAATAATAATAATAATAATAATAATAATAATAATAATAATAATATATAGTCACTACCAGTACATGTACAAGGTATACCAGTACATGTACAAGGTATACCAGTACATGTACAAGGTATACCAGTACATGTATAAGGTATACCAGTACATGTACAAGGTATACCAGTATATGTACAAGGTATACCAGTTGGTTTAGAAAGACACGTAAGCAAACACTATAACATATTTATTAGAAAAACGTTTCGGTCCTGGGACCTTGATCAAGGTCCCAGGACCGAAACGTTTTCTAATAAATATGTTATAGTGTTTGCTTACGTGTCTTTCTAAACCAACTTGTCGGTATTTATTACCAAGGTTTATACCAAGGTATACCAGTACATGTACAAGGTATACCAGTACATGTACAGGTATACCAGCACATGTACAAGGTATACCAGTACATGTACAAGGTATACCAGTACATGTACAAGGTATACCAGTACATGTACAAGGTATACCAGTACATGTACAAGGTATACCAGTACATGTACAAGGTATACCAGTACATGTAAAAGGTATACCAGTACATGTACAAGGTATACAGATCATAGCTGACATCAGTAACATACTACTATATAGAAAGTTGCTTGTTATGCTGAGCATTTCCGCAAATTAGGTCAGTTTTTGTCCCAGGATGTGACCCACACCAGTCCACTAACACCCAGGATGTGACCCACACCAGTCCACTAACACCCAGGATGTGACCCACACCAGTCCACTAACACCCAGGATGTGACCCACACCAGTCCACTAACACCCAGGATGTGACCCACACCAGTCCACTAACACCCAGGATGTGACCCACACCAGTCCACTAACACCCAGGATGTGACCCACACCAGTCCACTAACACCCAGGATGTGACCCACACCAGTCCACTAACACCCAAGATGCGACCCACACCAGAGTGGTATATAATGTGGTATATATACCACCAGAGAGTGGTATATAATGTATCATGTGTTTCAGAGAGTGGTGGTGGAGGAGGGATGGAAGATGGCAGGATGGTCAGTATCAGCCTGGCACTACAACACCACTGCCACCCTGACTCTCAGAGATGAGCATCTCTTCGTTACTGATTTTTCCTTTGATGGTGAGTTGTGACCCCATGGTGTAGTGACCCCCTGGTATAGTGACCTGGTGTAGTGACCCCTGGTGTAGTGACCCCCTGGTGTAGCGACCCCTGGTGTAGTGACCCCCTGGTGTAGTGACCCCCTAGTGTAGTGACCCCCTTGTGTAGTGACCCCTGGTGTAGTGACCCCCTGGTGTAGTGACCCCTGGTGTAGTGACCCCCCTGGTGTAATGACCCCCTGGTGTAGTGACTCCCGTGTCAGTAATATGTATTGGCTATGTGTTCCCACCTGTGTCCATTACTTAAGTGTCACGTGACTCCCACTTGAACAGCGCCCGGCTAGGCCGTAGGCCGACCTGTTGGATTCAGACCAGGATCGAGGGCAGATGTACAAAAAAGCTAGGCAAAAGACCGTCAGCCACCCAGTGTGCCACGTAGTCAGTCAGGCAGCTGACACCACTGTTTCACATCCCACCGTTGCCACCATTTGTCTTGTTCCTCAATACACCATAAGATAAGATAAGATTTCGTTCGGATTTTTAACCCCGGAGGGTTAGCCACCCAGGATAACCCAAGGAAGTCAGTGCGTCATCGAGGACTGTCTAACTTATTTCCATTGTGGTCCTTAATCTTGTCCCCCAGAATGCGACCCACACCAGTCGACTAACACCCAGGTACCTATTTGCTGCTAGGTGAACAGGACAGCAGGTGTAAGGAAACGTGTCGAAATGTTTCCACCCGCCGGGAATCGAACCCGGGCCCTCCGTGTGTGAAGCGGGAGCTTTAGCCACCAGGCCACCGGGCCACCTATGACAGTCTACCTCACTATTCACTCTAAGAACAGAGCCTGACAAATAGTGTCAGAGGTGGGATGTGAGACAGTGGTGGTAGTGAGTGGCGCCACCTGGTTGACTGACCACGTGGCACACTGGGTAACTGACTTACTTGCACCTACACTCTGGTGGTCAAACATCACAAGATGCTATAATTCACCTAACCAAAGACAATCTTACTAGACCTTCACCTAGAGTTTTATGACTTTCTGACCGCGGGTTCTAACCCCACCCGTGGTATGGGTTGTTTCAATCGTGTCATTACGATTTCGTGAGTCCCAGCAACAGTTTTTGATTCTTATTTCATACTTCGCGAATTAAAGTTTGCATCACCTACATCATCCACTACTAGGTAGACTGTTCCATTCATCCACTACTCGGTAGACTGTTCCACTCATCCACTGCTAGGTAGACTGTTCCATTCATCCACTACTAGGTAGACTGTTCCACTCATCCACTACTAGGTAGACTGTTCCATTCATCCACTACTAGGTAGACTGTTCCACTCATCCACTACTAGGTAGACTGTTCCACTCATCCACTACTAGGTAGACTGTTCCACTCATCCACTACTAGGTAGACTGTTCCATTCATCCACTACTAGGTAGACTGTTCCACTCATCCACTACTAGGTAGACTGTTCACTCATCACTACTATTAGAGTATCCCACTGTGTTCCACTCATCCACTACTAGGTAGACTGTTCCACTCATCCACTACTAGGTATACTGTTCCACTCATCCACTACTAGGTAGACTGTTCCACTCATCCACTACTAGGTATACTGTTCCACTCATCCACTACTAGGTAGACTGTTCCATCATCCACTACTAGGTAGACTGTTCCACTCATCCACTACTAGGTAGACTTTTCCACTCATCCACTACTAGGTAGACTGTTCCATCATCCACTACTAGGTAGACTGTTCCACTCATCCACTACTAGGTAGACTGTTCCATCATCCACTACTAGGTAGACTGTTCCAATCATCCACTACTAGGTAGACTGTTCCATTCATCCACTACTAGGTAGACTGTTCCACTCATCCACTACTAGGTAGACTGTTCCACTCATCCACTACTAGGTAGACTGTTCCACTCATCCACTACTAGGTAGACTGTCCATCATCCACTACTAGGTAGACTGTTCCACTCATCCACTACTAGGTAGACTGTTCCACTCATCCACTACTAGGTAGACTGTTCCATCATCCACTACTAGGTATACTGTTTCCACATCATCCACTACTAGGTAGACTGTTCCATCATCCACTACTAGGTAGACTGTTTCCACTCATCCACTACTAGGTAGACTGTTCCATTCATCCACTACTAGGTAGACTGTTCCAATCATCCACTACTAGGTAGACTGTTCCATTCATCCACTACTAGGTAGACTGTTCCACTCATCCACTACTAGGTAGACTGTTCCAATCATCCACTACTAGGTAGACTGTTCCATCATCCACTACTAGGTAGACTGTTCCACTTATCCACTACTAGGTAGACTGTTCCACTCATCCACTACTAGGTAGACTTGTTCCACTATCCACTACTAGGTAGACTGTTCCAATTCATCCACTACTAGGTAGACTGTTCCATTTATCCACTACTAGGTAGACTGTTCCACTTATCCACTACTAGGTAGACTGTTCCACTCATCCACTACTAGGTAGACTGTTCCAATCATCCACTACTAGGTAGACTGTTCCATTCATCCACTACTAGGTAGACTGTTCCACTCATCCACTACTAGGTAGACTGTTCCACTCATCCACTACTAGGTAGATTGTTCCACTCATCCACTACTAGGTAGACTGTTCCACTCATCACTACTAGGTAGACTGTTCCATTCATCCACTACTAGGTAGACTGTTCCACCATCCACTACTAGGTAGACTGTTCCATTCATCCACTACTAGGTAGATTGTTCCACTCATCCACTACTAGGTAAGACTGTTCCACTCATCCACTACTAGGTAGACTGTTCCATCATCCACTACTAGGTAGACTGTTCCACTCATCCACTACTAGGTAGACTGTTCCACTCATCCACTACTAGGTATAGACTGTTCCAATCATCCACTACTAGGTAGACTGTTCCACTCATCCACTACTAGGTAGACTGTTCCACTCATCCACTACTAGGTAGACTGTTCCACTCATCCACTACTAGGTAGACTGTTCCACTCATCCACTACTAGGTAGACTGTTCCACTCATCCACTACTAGGTAGACTGTTCCAATCATCACTACTAGGTAGACTGTTCCATCATCCACTACTAGGAATAGATGTTTCCATTATCCATATATGTAAGACTGTTCCACTCATCCATATAGTAAGTTCCATTATCTTCAACTAGGTAGCAAGTCCAGATCTCCCTAAGGTAATTTGTCTTAATGCACATTATCACTGTCCAGTTCCATTATAGAGACTGTTCATTCTCCTGCTAGTGTAACTGTTCAACTCATCCACATACTATGACTGTTCGACGTGTACTATAAATGTTCCAGAATCCGACAAGTTGATGAATTAGACACATCTACAAACTTGGGTTTCTTTATTGAGGAACGTTCGGCATATGCTGTTTCCTTCAGATTGATGGACTGATTACATCGATCCAAGCTGAGGAGACTGATATCTCAAACTCTTTGGTGCTTTCCACCATTCTCCTTTGTAGATGGTTTTAACCACTGTGTGGCGAAGCGTTTTCCTACAGTAAGATACCCAAAGTGTATGATGTCACTATCACTACTAGTAGAGTGTTCCACTATCCCTAGGCTAAGAGCTTTCCATTCATCCACACTAGGTAGACTGTTCCCTATCCACTACTAGTAGACGTTCCACTCATCACTATAGGTAACTGTTCCACTATCCACTACAGGTAGACTGTTCCATTCTCCAAATACTAGGTAAATGTCCACTCATCCAACTCCGGTAGACGTTCCACTCATCCACACTAGGAGACTGTTTCCCCCATCCACTACTAGGTAGACTGTTTTCCCCCATCCACTACTGGTAGACGTTCCATCATCCACTACTAGGGAGATTTCCAAATCATCCACTATAGTAGACTGTTCCCTTACCACACAGGTAGACGTTCCACCTCCACTACTGGTTAAAATGTTCCCCTCTCCACTAAGTAGACTGTTCCACTCATCCACTACTAGGTAACTGTTCCATTCCCTACTAGGTAGACTGTTCCAATCATCCACTACTAGGTAGACTGTTCTCCATCACACATACTGTTCCAATATACTAGTAGATGTTTCCTATTATCCACTTACTAGTGAATGTTCCACTCATCCTACTAGTAGACTGTTCCAACTCATCAACTAGGTAGAACTGTTCACTCTCCATACTGGGTAGACTGTCCACATCATCCCTACTAGGTTAGACGTGTTCAAACTCATCCTTACTATGGTATGACACTTCCATTCATCAATTTTACTAGTAACTGTTCCACCACCACATACTAGCTGAAATATTAGATGGGTTTCTCTACTTGATATTGTTATCTTCAGATATGATATTATATCAAGGTGGTCCTGAATCTTCAACCTTAGCAAGTCCGAGTAGTTTCTTGATTTGGATATCACTGTCTAGTTCCATTAGCGAAGCTGTTCACTTTCCTAGTAATGATTACAATTTGCAACGTAAATGATGTTAGTAGTGTATAAAAGGGTCCGGACCGCAAGTTGTAGAATTAACACATCTCAACACTGGGGTTTCTATTAGGAAACGTTTGGCATATGCTGTTTTCCTTTCAAGATTGATGGACTGATTTACATTTCGCAAGCTGAGGACTGATTATCTCAAACTCCTTTGCTTGTCGACCATTCTCCTTTGGTATGGATTGATGAAGCCACTGGTACGAAAACGTTTCCAGTAAAGATACCCAAGTGTTGCAGATTTCTAACTTATCAATGCTAGTAGGTTTATGAAAGCTTGGATTACTGGTTAATGAGTATAACCGTCTAGAACTTTGGAACCAGGACTCACATAGTTAGGAGGACTTCGTGAGACCAAGACTCACACCTGTAGGGAAGCCACACCGAGCTGGATTGCTCCCTCACTGCCTCTCACTTCTATATTCCAGCCATCGTTATCCTGGCCCCTGTTTCTCAATGCGAGTGACTTATGTGCAGCCTGCAAGGGGTAAACCTGGAGAGTGTTCCGGGGGTCAACGCCCCCGCGGCCCGGTCTGTGACCAGGCCTCATGGTGGATCAAGGCCTGATCTGTGCCCAAGGATCAAAAACTGTTGCTGGGAAATATTAAGCATGAAGAAAAGTTTAATTTTCTGACCAACTTGTCACATTATGAAAATCATGGTGGTGTTGAGGTTGTTAGCTTCTCCAGGTGAAGGAGATCCAGTAAGACTGTCTTTGGCAAGTTGAATTATAGCATCTTGTGATACTATACCACCAGAGTGTAGGTGCCAGTAAGTCAGTCACCCAGTGTGCCACGTGGTCAGTCAACCAGCTGATGCCATTCACCACCACCACTGTCTCACACCCCACCACTGTCACCAAGTAGTGACCCCTTGTGTAATGACCCTCTGGTGTAGTGACTGGTGTAGTTATCCCCTGGTGTAGTGACCCCCTGGTATAGTGACCCCCTGGTGTAGTGACCCCCTGGTATAGTGACCCCCTGGTGTAGTGACCTCCTGGTATAGTGACCCCCTGGTGTAATGACCTCCTGGTATAGTGACCCCTGGTGTAGTGACCCCCTGGTATAGTGACCCCCTGGTGTAGTGACCCCCTGGTATAGTGACCCCCTGGTGTAGTGACCCCCTGGTATAGTGACCCCCTGGTGTAGTGACCCCCTGGTGTAGTGACCTGGTATAGTGACCCCCTGGTGTAGTGACCCCCTGGTATAGTGACCCCCTGGTGTAGTGACCCCCTGGTATAGTGACCCCCTGGTGTATAGTGACCCCTGGTTAGTGACCGTAAGTGACCCCTGGTTAGTGACCCCCTGGTATAGTGACCCCCTGGTGTAGTGACCCCCTGGTATAGTGACCCCCTGGTGTAGTGACCTCCTGGTATAGTGACCCCCTGGTGTAGTGACTAGTATAGTCTGCTATCATTATCACTATTATTCAAAATTGATGTCTTCTCAGGGTTGTTGATGGGCGGCCGTGTTGATATGGGCGTTGTGGGTGACCACATGTTGATGATGCAGTGTTTATCAGTACTGTCCGTACCAGTACCAGCCATATCTGTTTTGTCCAGGTGTGTACCAGCCATAACTCTTTTGTCTAAGTGTGTGTACCAGCCATAACTCTTTTGTCTAAGTGTGTGTACCAGCCATAACTCTTTTGTTCAGTAGTTGTACCATGCCTAGACTCTGTTTTGTCTAGGTAGTGTCAGTCACTGACTGTGGTTAGTTCCAGTACAGGTGTGTCCACACATACTCTTGTCTCAACTGTGTGTACTTAGGTCATCACTCTTTGTCCCAGTGACTGTGTATCACTACTCTTCTGTCAGTGTAACGCTCACTGACTGTGTGTGTCATGTCGTGTTAATGTGGTAGTTAAAGGTATCGAGTCACACTTCACATGGCCCGCTCTTACATGGTCATGGTAGTTCCTCCCATTACTTTAGTTCCCAATACGTGTTCTTAACTTGTATGGATTGCTTCACTACTGTTGTGTATTGCGTGTTATATTGGGTCATACTACCACACTGTACAGCTATTCAACTGGTCCCACATGGAGTGTCGCCACATGTTACTACTCAGCAATGTGTCATGGTTGTACACTAACATTAAGGGCCTTCAGTACTGTCATTTGTCAACTCACTTCACGTGCCACTGTGAACATGGAGTGTGTCAGTGACGTGTCATCAGTGGTGATAGGTCACTGAACGCTTCAGTGTTGCAGACTGTGACGCATCGGTTGCACATGTACATGGGTAGTCAGTACGTGTCAGGGTAGTGCTCAGTGACAGGTAGCCTTCTGGTCATCGTTGATCAGCGGCCTTGACGATACTGCATGACTTGTTCATTAGTGTCACTCTCGTTCTGAATCCACAACTGTGTACCTGTAGTGTCTCATTGTACATGGTATGCAGCACATAACGTATTGTGAGTTGGTCAGTCACAGTGTACATGGTAGTGTCATCACTGTGTACATGGTAGTGTCAACTCACTTGTACATGGTAGTGTCAGTCACAGTGTACATGGGTAGTGTCAGTCACTGTGTACATGGGTAGTGTCAGTCACAGTGTACATGGGTAGTGTCACTCACTGTGTACATGGGTAGTGTCAGTCACAGTGTACATGGGTAGTGTCAGTCACTGTGTACATGGGTAGTGTCACTCACTGTGTACATGGGTAGTGTCAGTCACTGTGTACATGGGTAGTGTCACTCACTGTGTACATGGGTAGTGTCACTCACTGTGTACATGGGTAGTGTCACTCACTGTGTACATGGGTAGTGTCACTCACAGTGTACATGGGTAGTGTCAGTCACTGTGTACATGGGTAGTGTCACTCACTGTGTACATGGTAGGTCATCACGTGTACATGGTAGTGTCACTCACTGTGTACATGGGTAGTGTCACTCACTGTGTACATGGGTAGTGTCAGTCACTGTGTACATGGGTAGTGTCACTCACTGTGTACATGGGTAGTGTCACTCACTGTGTACATGGGTAGTGTCACTGTGTACATGGGTAGTGTCACTCACTGTGTACATGGGTAGTGTCAGTCACTGTGTACATGGGTAGTGTCAGTCACTGTGTACATGGGTAGTGTCAGTCACTGTGTACATGGGTAGTGTCACTCACTGTGTACATGGGTAGTGTCAGTCACTGTGTACATGGGTAGTGTCAGTCACTGTGTACATGGTAGTGTCACTCACTGTGTACATGGTAGTGTCATACTGTGTACATGGGTAGTGTCAGTCACTGTTACATGGGTAGTGTCACTCACTGTGTACATGGGTAGTGTTCACTGTGTACATGGGTAGTGTCACTCACTGTGTACATGGGTAGTGTCAGTCACTGTGTACATGGGTAGTGTCAGTCACTGTGTACATGGGTAGTGTCACTGTGTACATGGGTAGTGTCACTCACTGGATACAATGGGTATGTCAACCTCACGTACAATGTATATCACTCAACTACGTGTATATGGGTGTGTCAGTATTGTGTACATGGGTAGTGTTCAGTCACTGTCGTACATGGTAGTGTCAGATCACTGTGTACATGGTTAGTGTTCACTCACTGTGTACATGGTAGTGTCAGTCACGTGTACATGGGATAGTGTCAATTCACTGTGTACATGCGGTTAGTGTCCAGTCACTGTGTACATGGGTAGTGTCACTCACTGTGTACATGGGTAGTGCAGTCACTGTGTACAGGTAGTGTCAGTCACCTGTGATACAGGGAAATAGGTACAGTCACTGATGTACATGGGTCAGATCCATCACTGTGTACAGGTATAGTGTCAGTCCCAGTGTACATGGTATGGTCCGGTACTGGGATCAGGCACTCCACTGTGTACATGGGTATGCAGTCACTGTGTACATGGGTAATGTCATCACAGTGTACATGGTTAGTGTCACTCACTGTGTACATGGTATTACTCACAGTGTAACATGGTAGTGTACATCACAGTGTACAGGTAGTGATCACTCACGTGTAACATGGTAGTGTCAGCACTGTGTAACATGGGTAAGTGTCTCAGTGTACAGGGTAGTCCACTCACCTGTGTACTGGTTGTGTCAGTCATGTGCACATGGGTAGTGTCACTATCACGTGTACATGGGTAGTGTCAGTCACTGTGTACATGGGTAGTGTCATTTCATGTGTACACATCTGTTAGATGTAACGTACAGGGTTACTTCGTACGTGAGTAATGGAATTCAGTCACTGACACCAACACTTTCACAACCCACAACACACACAACAACCCATCCAACACCACAACACAAACACACACAACACACACACCACAGGTAAAATATGTTATTCAGTAATATTCAAAATAATGTTCAGTGTCAAATAATAATGTTCGGTAATAAGTTTAAATAATGTTTCAAGACTTTCAATAATATTAAAAGATGTTCATGTTCGAAAATGATCAACTGGAGTAATTCAATTAAACATTAACATATATATGGTATTTTTATTTCCTATAGCCAAGATAACACCAGGATAACCAGGATAAACCCAGGATAACCTAGATAAACCCACGGATAAATAAACCCAGTAACCCAGGATAACTAGGATAACCCAGGATAACCTAATGATACCCAGGAATAACCTAGGATAACCCAAGATAACCCAGGATAACCAAGGATAACCTAGGTAAACCCAGATAAACCTAGGATAACGCTAGGATAACCCATGAAACCCAATGATAACCCAGGATTACCTAGAATAACCAGGAAACCTAGGAATAACCAGGATAACCCAGGATAACTAGGATAACCCAGGGAATAACCAGATAAACCCTGGATAACCTAGGATAACCCAGATAACGTAGGATAACCAGATAACCTGGATAACCTAGTGATACCAGGATAACCCAGTGTAACCAGGATACCTAGGATACCCAGGTAACCAGGATAACCCAGGTATAACCCCAGGATAACCTAGGATTGATCCAAGTTATGGTCCTTGAAGTTGATGATCCTCCGACATGAATCAACGTCCAGGTCTTTGACGTTGTGTTCGCTCTATTTTGTGCCAGAATTGTTTACTCGATGAAGAATTAATTTCTCGTGTTACCAATCCTGAAGTAATTGAAAATTGCTCATCGTTGAACATCATTTTAGTTATTCTGCAGCCCACTGAAAGATTTGGCTGACATCTAACCTAATCTTTCAAGTGGGCTGCCAGAAATAACAAATGAAGTTCAACATAGAAATTCAATTACTCGATATGGTATAAAATGAGGAAATTAAATTCTTCATCAGTAGCAAACAAATTCTGGCCACAAAATAGAGCGAAACACACGTCAAAGACACTGGGATGTGATTCATGTCGGAGATCTCACCTTACAAGGACCATAACATTGTATCAATAGCATCTGCTAGAAAATTGACAGTGATGGATAATGAGTAACCTTCAAAACTAGGGAGGCCAACCATGATTACACTCTTCAGGTCACTTACTTGTTCTATCTAGGATGGAATAGTTGCCTGACACACTAACAGGCACACTTTCAAGGCATGGTGAAATGCCAACCTAGAAAATGTACAGATAACTTTCACGCATGCGAATAAGGAGATAAACACTCAATTTTTATTGTGGAACGCTTGAAGTTCCTAAACCTGTATTCCCTGGACGCAGGAGGGAAAGAGGATAACTGATTCAAATCACCTGAAATCTAGAGTGACTAGTATCGATACTTAGACACGAAAACTCACTCACTACGATAGCAGAAAGACTGGCAGACGATGCCACCATCCCCCCAATGATAAACAGGGCGTTCACTAGCACGTTAAGAGACCATAACCAATAAGTTTCAGGGGCCCGAATGTTCAAACTGCCTCCCTCAAGCACACATGAAGGGGGATTACAACAGACCCCTGGCAGTCTTAAAGCTGGCACTGGACAAGACACCTAATCATTTTCCTGATCAGCCGGGCTGTGGCACGTAACGTTGGTTTCGCCCGTGCTAGCCAGCAGCAACAGGCGCTGTTGCTCAGGCTCTGATCCTATGCCAGAGCCTGGTCAGCACAACCGGCATAGGGGCGCGTGTGACCCAACGGAACTCTCTCCAGGTAAACTACGTGCCGCAAAATGCCCTCTCACACTATACCACTCACTGATTTATCCATACCTCACCTATGCTATTTGTGCTTGGGGATCAACTGCAGCAACACACCTAAAGCCAATAATAACCCAACAAAAAACTGCAGTAAGAATAATCACTAAATCTCATCCCTGGCAACACCCCCCCCCCCACTCTTCATAGATCTAAACTTACTCCCTGTTCAGTACATCCACACTTACTACTGTGCAATCTACATCTACAGGACCTTAAACTCCAATATCAACCTTTACCTAAAACGCTTTCTTGATAGTTGTGACAGAACCCACAGGCATAAATAACACTAGACACAAACATCTCTACGACATTCCCCGTGTCCGACTAAACCTTTACAAAAATTCAATGTATGTCAAAGGCCCTAAAATCTGGAACACCCTTCTGAGAACTCTAGAACTGCAGACACATTCATCACCTTCAAAACTACCATTAGAAAACATCTTATCTCCCTGATACCACCCCGTCAACTAATACACGAATACCACTGGTGGTTCCTTTACACTCACTACACCCATATGACCATTACAGAATTTAATATGTTTAATATTAAACCCATACCATCCTTATGGCGTAGAAAAATTACAGAGTACAAATGTCCAAGGGACTGGACCCAAAGTTATGATAGCTGAACTATTCACAAAGTTAAACCTCCAGTAGATCTGGTCACTAAACATGGCAAGTTACAGAGGTTAATGAATCCCTTTCCTTTCTTAGTGTACATCAAATCAATTTACAAGTAAAACCATGAACAAGTCTAATCCAAATTGTAATTTATAAATAAATAATTTGGATCATCACAACAGGAAGCCGCGAACATAAAACGAGGCGGCACCACGATGTGCACGGAAGGTACAAATATACAAAAACACAAGACGAACACACACACAATCCCATCCACAAAACCCTACAACTACACTACCCATTGACACACATACACACACCAACAAACACACATAACACCACCACACACCACACACACACGCATACCCCCCACACAACCACATCACACATGACGAACACACACAAAACACACGCACACACACACACACGACCAACACAACCCGCACACACACCCTCACAAACCCCCCAACGACGCAAACAAACACACACACACACACACAAATCACACACACACACACACAAACACACACACACACACACCTACACACCCACAACACACACACACACTCCACAAACACACACACACACACACACACACAAACCCCTACACAAAAACATGCACACATGGGTAATGTTTTTAAAGACAATGTATTCTCAGAATGGTCTGCAATATACCACTGTGGATAAATACATAGTTAGCTTTAACACTTCTGAGTGAGTTTTTTAACATATTTAATACACTCCAGTACATAATGAGCAATTGTGTGATATGTCATCTGGCAAGTTAATTGTTTGAGGTTTAATTCGTGGTAAGTGTTAACTGCCAATATGTAACCCTAGCCAAACCGGGCGGTAGTGACATAAGGTTACTTATCTTGTTGGATGCACCATAGACATGGCTCCTCCTGCATGAATAGAATATGATAGATCTCACACTGCTCAACTCTGTCTTAAAAAAATTCGCTTTTTTCGTATTATTGTTCTCAAACTACTACCTGACAACCAAGATTGTAATCTACTCCTCTTTGAAACTTATTAGCCAATTCTCATTTTTTCATTTGAAGAAGTTGAAGTCCAAGTATTCTATGCACTGCACGTCCTCTACCAACCTGTCTCTGGAAACAAGTGCCACTATTTAATTGATTTAGCTTTTTGGAAAGATCAGTTACAATTAAATTCAACCTAGATACATGCACTTTGAGGCAAGAGTTGTCAAACATTCTGTTGAAGGTCTCCCATTATGGGTTTTTCAATTCTTAATAGAGCCATCATCCGTGTGACAACAAGGACTTCGCTGCACCAGTGGCTGATTAGGGAATGGAACAGAACCAGTTCCGAAATAATTGTGAAAGATTGCTCTGTGTGACTATTACAATACAGCCTTAAGGCATCATGTTTTCAAGAACTTGTTTTGTAATTTAAAAAGGAAGTTTGGGGGGAAATGAAGGAATGTAGTTTGAAGGGGAATTGCCATGGGATGGTTTTGTTTCACTTCACATTGGATCATGATATAAACAAATATAATTCCATTTTATAATATTCAAGATACTTCCATTGTCATTATGACTTCTGCTACTTCCAAAAGTATTCAGCTAAACTCCAATGTTTTTTGATCTTAGCCACAATACAACTTACCTCATATTTGTATATTTTTACTAAGATTAACTTCTGCCGAATGCCTAGCCATGTTTGGGTTTAGTGTTCACTCTTCATCATTTAACTACATGTAAACCAAATTAACCAATTCGTGGGTTTTGTACATTGTATCCTTAATAATAATTTTTATTGAGAGTAACTCAGATAGCCGAGTAACCTAGGATAACCGAGCTGAAGACCATGAAGTTGTGTGTAACCAACACAACATAAACAAGTTGATCAGGTAACAGTGGTAGTTTGCTCAGACTTGGGGGGGTTAGTTTTGTTTCCCTCACCTTACTTAATTTCGCCCGTTCTCTCTGGCACACTTCCACATTTACTTTATTTAGCCGCACATTACAAAGGGAATTCTTATTAACTTACCAGTTTTTTTTCGTTCGTAATTTAATTGTTTAGTTGAAGTTTCATTACTGACCTTAAGTTTTGGATTATTTATTATTAAATCAAGTGGACGCTAACCGGGGGATTATACAGCGCCTGGGGGGGATGATATGTGAAGGCATCAGGCTTAATTCGGTTAGTATTGAACCACTCCAATTCCTAAATCAATGACCCCTCCACCATGGTATTCTTATCCTTACTATTTGGTAGTTCGTTCGTTATCTACCTTAATTTGGAAAGTCAGTTCAGTTACTGACCTTAAGTTGGGTTAGCGTGCCCTTGTGTTCCACCTGAATATAATGGGAACTTTAGTTTCATTCTATTTGCAATGGAACTTTGTTCCTTTTTCCAAGGCTCCTTGGCACTAATGTGTATCCCCTTTGGGTTAGGTTTTTTTGATTATAATAATTATGGGATTTATATTCTTCCCGAACACTCAATTGTTAAATTCAAGTTTACAGTATGTTGCAGTGAGGTCCCTCAAGAAGGTTCCTTGATCGTTGGGGGGTTTATTGGGAATTGGATCTGTCTCATTCCATGTTTAGTGAATGCCTTCCCTCCCCCCAGGCGCTGTTTAATCTTCCGGTTATGCGTCTTTTCCTTGTTATAAAATAATGTTGCTGGGGTAGTTTACTGTCAGTAATTATGACAACAATATTCTACATAGTTTCAGTTGTTTTGATTCCCTTTTTCCACCTTAGTTGTTGATTGTTTCCCTACACTTCCAGTTGGGTTTAGTTAGTGTATTCCCGACACTTCAGTTTATTAGTTGTTATTTATTCCTTCACTACACTTCCAGTTGGTTTATTGATTTCTCACCTACACTTCCATTTGGGTTTGATTGTATTCCCCTACACTTCAGTTGGGTTATTTTATTATATTCCCCATCGTTTGTTGGTTTATTTGTTAATTCCCCTACACTTCCAGTTGGATTATATTGTTTGTTTTTACATACTTCCATTGGGTTTTAGTTGATTGTATTCAACCTACACTTCCAGTTGGGTTTAGTTGATTGTATTCCACCTACACTTCCAGTTGGGTTTAGTTGATTGTATTCCACCTACACTTCCAGTTGGGTTTAGTTGATTGTATTCCACCTACACTTCCAGTTGGGTTTAGTTGATTGTATTCCACCTACACTTCCAGTTGGGTTTAGTTGATTGTATTCAACCTACACTTCCAGTTGGGTTTAGTTGATTGTATTCAACCTACACTTCCAGTTGGGTTTAGTTGATTGTATTCAACCTACACTTCCAGTTGGGTTTAGTTTGATTTATTCCACTACCTTCCTAGGGTTTTTTAGTTATTTTTTTATTCCACCTACACTTCCCGTTGGTTTAGTTGTTGTATTCCAAACCCCACCTTCCAGTTGGGTTTAGATTGTATTCACCAAAACTTCCAGGTTTGGGGTTTTTGTTGATTGTATTCAACCTACACTTCCAGTTTTGGGTTTTTTTGATTGTATTAACCTACATTCCGTTGGGTTTTGATTGATTCCACCTCACTTCCCTTGGGTTAGATTGTATTCCACCTACATTTCCAGTTGGGTTTTTTGATTGTATTCCCTACACTTTCCCTTGGGTTTAATTGGTTTTCCCCCTACACTTCCAGTTGGGTTTAATTGTATTCCACCTACATTTCCCGTTGGGTTTTTTGATTGTATTCCACCTACACTTCCAGTTGGGGTTTTGATTGTTTCCACCTACACTTCCAGTTGGGTTTAGATTGATTCCCCCTATACTTTCCTTGGGTTTTGATTGACCCCCTAAACTTCAGTTGGGTTTTAAATTTTATTTCCCCTACCTTCCCGTTGGGTTTAGATTGTATTCCACCTACAAAATTCCTTGGGGTTTAGATTGTATTCCACCTACACTTCCAGTTGGGTTTAGTTGATTGTATTCAACCTACACTTCCAGTTGGGTTTAGTTGATTGTATTCAACCTACACTTCCAGTTGGGTTTAGATTGTATTCCACCTACATTTCCAGTTGGGTTTAGATTGTATTCCACCTACACTTCCAGTTGGGTTTAGATTGTGTTCCGCCTACACTTCCAGTTGGGTTTAGATTGTATTCCACCTACATTTCCAGTTGGGTTTAGATTGTATTCCACCTACACTTCCAGTTGGGTTTAGATTGTATTCCACCTACACTTCCAGTTGGGTTTAGATTGTATTCCACCTATACTTCCAGTTGGGTTTAGATTGTATTCCACCTACACTTCCAGTTGGGTTTAGATTGTATTCCACCTACACTTCCAGTTGGGTTTAGATTGTATTCCACCTACACTTCCAGTTGGGTTTAGATTGTATTCCACCTACACTTCCAGTCGGGTTTATGAGATCATATTCGATCTACACTTCCAGTCGGGTTTATGAGATCATATTCGATCTACACTTCCAGTCGGGTTTATGAGATCATATTCGATTTACACTTCCAGTCGGGTTTAGTAGATCATATTCGATCTACACTTCCAGTCGGGTTTATGAGATCATATTCAACAAACACCTCCCCCACTAATCTGATGGGCTGCCTGAGAACTGAAATGCCGCTATGGAACTTCATAGGTATGGTAATCTTTGACTTGCAAAATCTACGGAATCGGGTCTGTGCTCCAGTTTCCTGAATTAAGTCTGAATACCTTCCACATCCCCCCACAGGCGCTGCATAATCCTACGGGTTTAGCACTCCCCCTTGATTATAATTAGACTTGCAAAAGGCCTTCCATACTGTCAACCACAATATATTATGTAAGAAATTACAAGCTATCGGCATAGGTTTTGTAGACTGGTTTAAGTCCTAACAACCACAAATTGTCAAAATCAGCTAGACAGAATCAGAACCGCTGCCAATAGCATGTGGAGTTCCCCAAGGTAGTATTCTGGGTCCCTAATTATTTCTATGTTATGTGAATAACATGCTCATCAGCGTTAAGTGTAAGCTTCTGTTGTATGCGGATGACAGTGCTCAGTTAGTGTCAGGTGAAGACCCACAAGATATAGCTAATGTACAATCACTAGAATTAGAGTCCTGCTCTGGTGGCTAAAGCTGTCGCTTCACATGGCGAGGGTCTGGGTTCGATTCCCAGCCTGGGTAGAAACACTGGGCGTGTTTACACCTGTTGTCTATGTTCACCCATCAGTAAAATGGACCCCAGTGGAAATAAGTCACTCTGACTTTTTTGGGTTATCCTAGGTACTTTACACATGCTGCTATGTATGATAATTTATGTAACTGTATTGGTGTATACCTGAATAAACTTACCTGCGTGTGGGTCACATCCTGGATGTTAGTGGACTGGTGTGGGTCACATCCTGGGTGTTAGTGGAATGGTGTGGGTCACATCCTGGGTGTTAGTGGAATGGTGTGGGTCACATCCTGGGTGTTAGTGGACTGGTGTGGGTCACATCCTGGGTGTTAGTGGACTGGTGTGGGTCACATCCTGGGCGTTAGTGGACTGGTGTGGGTCACATCCTGGGTGTTAGTGGACTGGTGTGGGTTGCATCCTGGGTGTTAGTGGACTGGTGTGGGTCATCCTGGGTGTTAATGGACTGGTGTGGGTCACATCCTGGGTGTTAGTGGACTGGTGTGGGTCACATCCTGGGTGTTAGTGGACTGGTGTGGGTCGCATCCTGGGTGTTAGTGGACTGGTGTGGGCCACATCCTGGGTGTTAGTAGATTGGTGTGGGTCACATCCTGGGTAGATGACTTTGTGGTCCACATCTGGTTTAATGGATGGTGTGGTCCATCTGGTGTAGTGATGGTGTGGTCACATCCTGGTGTAAGTGACTGGTGGGTCAATCCAGGTGTTAGTGACTGTGTGGGTTCGATCTGGGTGTTAGAGGACTGGTGTGGGCCAATCTGTGTTAGTAGATTGGTGTGGGTCACATCCTGTGTTAGTGGACTGGTGTGGTCACATCCTGGACAAAACTGACCTAATTTGCTGAAATGCAGCTAACAAGCAATTTTTATATAGTAGTATGGTCAGATGTCCAGCTTGATCTGTATACCCTGTATCATGTACTGTATACCTTGTACTGACTCGTTTACCTTGTCATGTCTGGAGAATATAGAGAATATTTATTATTAAAAAGGGCTAGTAGACAACAATTATGTTGACACTTCAGGAAAACGGAAGCCATACTCTTTGGCACAAAGGATAAATTGAAAAGGGTAAATAATTTTGATGTCCAGTGCAGTGGGGAACCCATCATTACAGTATCTTCAGTTAAATATCTGGGACTCCCCTTTGACCCATGCATGTCAGGAGAACTGATAGGGAACAGTTTAGTAAAGAAAGGGCCCCAATGGAGATTAGTCACTTTGTGTGACACTTTTGGGTTATCCCAGGTTCTCTACACATATGCTGATCTATCTAACTGTATTTGTGTATACCTGAATAAACTTACTAAAGTGAATGCCAGGGTAAAGTTCCTCTACTCATAGGCAGTGTCTACCTACTGAGGCTCGCAGGATCCTGTGTCTGACTTTTATACATTGTCATGTAGATTATGCTTGCTCTTCATGGTACTCTGCCTTAACCAAAAAAAAATTGGAAGATAGACTACAAATCAGCCAGAACAAAATGGTAAGATACGTCCTGGACCTGGGTCCATGAGAACATGTAGGCGAGGATGAATTATAACAACTGATATGCTGAATGTTGAAGACAGAATAAAACAATTAGTTATGTCACGTGTATAAAATTGCACACAACCACTGTCCAGAATATCTTGCTGCCAATTTTGTTAAGGTTGGGAACCAATCAGTGGTTAGGCTTCAAGTATTGCAATAAAAAGAGTGAAACATACTATCTGCACATGTCAAAGCCTGCCATAGCATGAGCAGGTTCAAGAGGAGAGCCAAGAGATACCTAATGAATGTAGCTACAGAAAGAGGAGTTATTTCTTGTATATCTAACATATACTGTAATCTGATCCTATCTTTAATATTAATGTACATAAGTGAATTTACCTTATCCCTAGTATATCTCCTTTTTAGCCTCATAGTAATTATTCCTGTTTTTAACTCCTTGCACCTTACTAGTAAATTAACTTACCTGTTTTTAATCTTTAAGTTTTAAGAGAGCCTGAATAGTCTTTCTCCTTTTGGATATTAGTAACTACTCGTTTATAATATGTATATTGAATCGTACACTGTTTTAACTTAACAGGATATTAGAGAGCCCCATGGAAATGTAGTCCTTGGATCTGACTTTTGTGGGTCTCCTAAGTGTATTTATGGGTTAGGTCAGCAGCCAGGATAACCCAAGAAAGTCAGTGTGTCATTGAGGGACTGTCTGCCTTATTTCCATTGTGGTCCTCAATGTTGCTCCCAGGATGCCACCCACACCAGTCCATTAACACCCATGTACCTATTTACTGCTAGGTGAATGGGACAGCAGGTGTAAGGAAATGCACTCAGTGTTTTCACCCTTGCTGGGGATCAAACCACGGACACTCAATGTGTGAAGCACACTGAATGTCCATGGCCACTAGGGATAAGGTAAATTCAGTGCCCAGGCCATGGGCCTGTAGGTCATACCTAAGGAATGGCCCAGTAGTAAGCAAGAAGCGAGCCTTATTACCTCTGCTTGAGAGTCTTGAAGACTATGGTGGTCTTCAGCTACAAGGCTGAGGGACTGATTACCTCATCTTTTGTATGTAATTCTACAGTCTTCATGTTATGTCCTTGTATTAATGAAGCCTCTGGATGGTAAAACTTCTACAGATAAAGATATTTTAGATACTAACAATGAAGCAATGCAAACTGGATTTTTCTATCGTCTAAAATTATAAAAAATTTTGTAGTCCTCACAAAAATCAGTTATATCTCGATTATTTGTTACTAATTTTTGTATTTTATTCCCATGATGTATAAAAATGGAGGGGATTATTGCCAATATTATTTGTTTGTAGAATAATGACCCTGGAATATCTATTTTACAAATAATAATGATTAATTCATAAATAATTGAGTTACAACAACAAATATTATATTATGTATAGGTCTACCACAACTGAGTTGTCATCACCACATTTATTATAATTGTAATAACTCCATTTATAATTATGATACAGAGATGAGATGCACCAAAATTTTGCTAAATTTAAGAATTATTTTTTAGTAAGCTTAACTCATTTTTCCCTGATGGTACTCCTCCTTAATAATTTCATTTCCTATCACTATTCTTTTTTAAGTTCTTTCTGTTTTTGTGTTTTTTACACATTATTTTTGCTGAATTAACTGAAATTGTATATTAAATATTACAAATTTTATTTTCAGGAGGAAGGAAGTAACAGTAAAAGAGTGGAAAGTAGCAGTAAAGGGGTGGAAAGTAGCAGAATGAGAGTGGAAAGTAACAGAATGGGAGTGGAACAAGTAACACTTCCACACTCATGGAACAATCCTCCTCTACCTGCCATCTTCTGTATTGCCATAGCAATCTATATTCTCCTTGTCATTATAGGTAAGAACTTGGATATAATGATAGCTAAACCTAGCAGTCTACATTCTCCTTGTCATTATACCTGGAGTATACTTGGAGAGGGTTTCAGGGGCCAATGCCCCCCATGGCCCGGTCTGTGATATAATGATAGCTAGGCCTGACATTATACATTCTTCTTGTCAGTATTGGTAAGAACTTGGGTATAATGATAGCTTGGCCTAGCCTTATATATTCTCCTTGTCATTATAGGTAAGAACTTAGATTTCTAACATGGATATAATGCCAGCTAGGCATTATATCCATGCACATTACAATAAAAAAGTATCTGAATCAGTTGTCATCCTCTCCAAGATACATTATTATATACCTCAAACAGCACTGCTCACGTTATACTATCTCTAATCTGTCCCTACCTCACCTATGCTATTTGTGCTGGGTATCACTACAACAAATCACCTTAAGCCAATAACAACCCAGCAAAAGGCAGCATTACTAATGATCACTCAGTCTACTGGCAAACAACACACTCCCCCATTCTTCAGTCTGCTGCCAGACAACACACTCCCCCATTCTTCAGTCTGCTGCCAGACAACACACTCCCCCCACTCTTCAGTCTACTGCCAGACAACACACTCCCCATTCTTCAGTCTGCTGCCAGACAACACACTCCCCCTACTCTTCAGTCTACTGGCAGACAACACACTCCCCTATTCTTCAGTCTGCTGCCAGACAACACACTCCCCCACTCTTCAGTCTACTGCCAGACAACACACTCCCCCATTCTTCAGTCTGCTGCCAGACAACACACTCCCCCTACTCTTCAGTCTACTGGCAGACAAACACACCCCTATTCTTCAGTCTGCTGCCAGACAACACATTCCCCACTACTTTCAGTCTACTGCAGACAACACACTCCCTATTCTTCAGTCTGCTGCCAGAGAACACACTCCCCCACTCTTCAGTGTACTGCCAGAAACACACCCCCATTCTTCAGTCTGCTGCCAGACAACACACTCCCCCTACTCTTCAGTCTACTGGCAGACAACACACTCCCCTATTCTTCAGTCTGCTGCCAGACAACACACTCCCCCCACTCTTCAGTCTACTGGCAGACAACACACTCCCCTATTCTTCAGTCTACTGCCAGACAACACACTCCCCCACTCTTCAGTCTACTGCCAGACAACACACTTCCCCACTCTTCAGTCTACTGCAAGACAACACACTCCCCCATTCTTCAGTCTACTGCAGACAACACACCCCCACTCTTCAGTCTACTGGCAGACAACACACTCCCCCACTCTTCAGTCTACTGCCAGACAACACACTCCCCCACTCTTCAGTCTACTGCCAGACAACACACTCCCCCACCCTTCAATCTACTTCCAGTGAACCTTGGCTTTATTTGTTCTCACTGTTACACATAAATGAGGATGGGTATGGGGTGTATAATAAAGATATTAAACCCACTGTTACACATAAACATGTCTATCTATCTATATCTGTCTGTCTGGCTCTGTCTCTGCTTATCTGTCTTTCTCTCTGCCTGTGTGTGTCTTTCTTCCTGTCTGCTTGTCTCTGTCTCAGAGAGAGACCTGCTCATGAACGAATAGGTATTACACATGATGTGAACTGCATCTCACCTTTCGACAGTATATAAATCTCTGTACTGCTGCTTAAACTTCACACTGTTCCAGACTATGGACCCAAACTCTTCTCCAGGCTGAGAGACTCACCACCTCAACACTATGTATTCAAGGGTGATGGACTGATTACAACATCTTCATATCTCTACTGCCTCTGCCAAACTCTTCTGTATTTGACTGAAGAAGCCTACTGTGTAGGCAAAACATTTTGGACTAAAGACACCTAAGTGTTGCATATGTGTCTTACTTATATATTACACAAGATGCAGAGTCATCATGTCTGATTCCTGAACAAGTGAAAATGCGTATTACTGCTAGTCATGCTTATATCTACAAGCAGAGTATAGCACTTTGTCTGTTTTTTTTGGGGTTATCCTAGGTAATTTACAATATGTATGATAACTGTACCTGTGAGATAGAGACAGAGACAGACACAGACAGCCAAAGTCAATCAGCCAGCCAGCCTGCCGAAAACATATTGCACGTTCCAGAATTGTTTCTCTTTACTTGGGGCATAGGTTATAGGACATTTTGGCAGGATGAAACTACCAGTGGTATCAAAATTGAAAGATGTGATACAAATGTTGCACATGGGTTATTATTGAGGTTTTTGATATTTCCTCAATCACTTGTGACACCGTCTGAAAACCACTAAACTCAGGGTCAGCATCACTATCCTCTTAAAAGGGGAGTGTTAATGCATCATGGCATCAGTGAATCCCTGGTATTTGCCACACTGTTTTTTCTAGCTGGCACTCAGTTGAACTGGTGCTCCCAGATTTTTTTAATACTGTCTACACGCAAGTGTGAAGACCCATTCTATACTGACCAGACATCTCAGGCCAATCGTGCCAAATTTGGAGGCAGGAAAAATAAAACATTGATCTACGTTTGGAATGCTAGCAGTGAAAATGTAGATCTAAGTTTGGGCAGTTAACAGGCTAATGTATAATGTAATGTTTTACAGGTTTGTGTATAAGGCAGTGTTTGTTGAAGAAAGGTGTGTGTGGAGGTGGGTGCCAGCAGGGACCATGTTGCAGCTGTGCAGAGTTAGGTCTACACTGTGCTCAGACCTGTTGCAACTGGGGCCCCAAGCCAACATGTTCCTCTTTGCTTGACCATTGTTGTCCTACTGCTCACCAGGTACCACAGACATGGGATCATTTCTTCCTTGTCATCCATAGTATATATGTATATACATTTTTTAGGCCTAGCTCTATTACTCACTTATAATATGATAGTGTAAACATGTTATCAGGCTTTTATGTGCATTTGAAAGTGGGAAAAAGGTTATGCTTTTCTTTACAGTGATTTTCACTTTACAGCAGTAGCCTGGAACCTAACCTGCTGTATAAGTGGGGCACTCCTGTACAGGTATAGCCCAGAACCTAGCCTGCTGTATAAGCAGGGCACTCCTGCACAGGTATAGCCTGGAACCTAACCTTCTGTATAAGCAGGGCCCTCCTGTACAGCAATAGCCTGGAACCTAACCTGCTATATAAGCAGGGCCCTCCTGTGCAGCAATAGCCTGGAACCTAACCTGCTATATAAGCAGGGCCCTCCTGTACAGCAGTAGCCTGGAGCCTAACCTGTTGTATAAGCAGGTTCGCTTATGCAGTACTACACTACACACTCAGAAAGTAGCATTTTTACCAATATTATCTTTTGCGTTCTTCTTTGTCTCGATTTCTTAGTTTCTTTGTTTCCACAGTGTTGCTGACAGCCTAGCCTTAGTCCAGCAGTGACACACTCTTGTCTGTCTTAGTCTAGCAGTGACACCACCTTGTCTTAGTCTAGCAGTGACACCATCTTGTCTTAGTCTAGCAGTGACACCATCTTGTCTTAGTCTAGCAGTGACACCATCTTGTCTTAGTCTAGCAGTGACACCATCTTGTCTTAGTCTAGCAGTGACACCATCTTGTCTTAGTCTAGCAGTGACACCATCTTGTCTTAGTCTAGCAGTGACACCATCTTGTCTTAGTCTAGCAGTGACACCATCTTGTCTTAGTCTAGCAGTGACACCATCTCGTCTTAGTCTAGCAGTGACACCATCTCGTCTTAGTCTAGCAGTGACACCATCTCGTCTTAGTCTAGCAGTGACACCATCTTGTCTGCTGATCCTATTTCTTTCTCAGCAGACATTACGTATATCTGTCACTCTTCATTATGCGTTATTGATAATGGAATGGATCTGCTGTTACCTCTATTATTCTACTTTCTTCAAACTCTGGCTGTTTAACCTAGCCAATATAGGGAATGTAAGTCAGTTAAACTCTGGTTGTAATTATAGCCGTACATCACTAATACAGCAGGTTAGATCCCAGATTGCAGCTGTAAAGCCAGTATCACCTTTAAGCAAAACAGAGTCTTTTTTAACTTGCCAGTGCATATAAAAGCCTAAAAACATGTTTACATTATCATTTATTAAGTGCACAATAGTGCTAGGCTTGAAAGTTAGATGCAAAAGTAAAAATAATAAATAAAAAATGCTGCTGTACTGTATTGTTAACTTTTAAGAACAAAGCACCAAGGATAATAAACATGAATATTTATTGAAAGCGCCGTGTTAGTGAAGTACTCTAGAGCAAAGCACCAAAAAGTGAGGTGCACTTTTTAGATTTTTTTCCAAAACAGTGGCCATCCCCCACCAAGGCAGGTGACCTGAGAAAGGAAGAAATGATAATTTTCCTTCTTTTTGCATTTGGTAATTTCTTGGTTATTAAACTGCATTAATATATTCATATACTGTAATTGTAAAATTGTGTACTTATTTAATTATGATAATCTGTTACAGGGATGTAACTGTCTTAAGTGTTTATCTTGTGAGATGTGCAGTTGTAACACTTGCACAGGTGATATCTGCCAGGACTCCTGCAAGTGTTGTAGTGGCTGGTGTGTAGCTCCTGGTCTCTGTACTGTTGGATCACTGTGTAACACCTGCTACTGCACTACACCTCAGTGTTCCACCATCAATTGTATGTGTTGTGAAATCACCATCAAGGGTCGTGGACCTCAGCAAGAAACTTAACAGTGACTGTAAGGATATTATTCTTCACTATTAACCTGTATGCTGGAAAATCTTAATTGAGACTTAGAGGAATAAACAGACTGATGACTCTAACAGATACTGACAACCTGATGAATAGTCTAAGGTCTATATATATACAGTAATACCTCATTAATACAGTGTGTTAGCTCCAGACTGCCGCAGTAAAACTTATACGTGTATCTTGTATCACATTATAGTGAATCACAGCCTTTTTTTCACTTGCCAGTGCATATAAAAGCCTTAAAAATGTTTACGCTATCATTTATTAAGTGTGCAATAACACCAGAACTAAAAAATTAATAAATAAAAATGCTGAAAATCATCTTAAGAAGACGACAAGCGCCAGAAATAATAAACATTAATATAACTGAAAAACTTCCGTATTAGTGAAGCACTAAAGTGAGGTACACCTATAATGGCTCAGTGAAGGATTTCTCAGCACCAGCACGAGGCTCAGACAGTGAAAAAGAATCCATGACAGTTCGTAGAAATATAGCCAAGCTTGATGTGAAAGGTACTAGTATATCGACAACATATTTATGTTTATTAAGCTTAGTGGCTTTATATGTTAATAAGAACTTAAATTTAATTGTTGCCTTGGCAGGGAGCGAATGCAGTTGTACAAGTAAGAACCACAATGGAAATAAGTCATTTATCTTACTTGTTTTATCCTGGTAGTAATTTAGGCATATATTACTATGTATCATAATTGTACTTATGTGTAGCTATACTTTTTTGGGTTATCTGGTAGGTAATTTACACTTATGTTACTGTGTATGATGAATATACTTGTGTGTACCACTACTTAAAGTAGCTAACTTCAGTTGGGAGTAAAAATACCAGTCCAGTACAGACTGAAATCTTTCATAGGCAACAAGTGTGTACTGTAGTTAAATTAACTTCTTTCAACAAACCAGCCATATCCCACAAAGGCAGGGTGACCCAAAAGGAAAAACGAAGGTTACTCCTTTTAAATTTAGTAATGTATAGAGGAGAAGGAATTACTAGCCCTTTGCTCCTGGCATTTTAGTTGCCTCTTACAACGCGCATGGCTTACGGAGGAAGAATTCTGTTCCACTTTCCCATGAAGATTAGACTAACTCATAAACCAATAATTGCACAAATCAGTTTGACAGGAAACAATGTAGATAAGGACCAAAATGCTGTGCTCCTGAGTGTTGTCTAAAATGAAAGAGGATAAAGTAACCAAGATAGTTGGTTTTAAGACTGAGAAATTACCAGAAGGTAGGGATATAGTTTTGCAATAGTTGGTATATTGCTTCAGTATACAGTGGACCCTCGACCAGCGATGGCATCGATTAACGATAAATCTGACTAGTGATACATTTTATCGCAAAAATTTTGCCTCGATTAGCGCTAAAAAACTCGACCAACGCTATTCCTTCCGTCTGAGACGCGTCCACTTCTGGCCAGTGTTTACAAGCCAGCCAGCCACCGCGGTTGCTTCCAAGCATACAATCGGAACATTTCATATTATCACAGCCTTTTTAGTGATTGCACCTGCAAAATAAGTCACCATGGGCCCCAAGAAAGCTTCTAGTGCCAACCCTACAGCAAAAAGGGTGAGAATTACTATGGATATGAAGAAAGAGATCATTGCTAAGTATGAAAGTGGAGTGCGTGTCTCCGAGCTGGCCAGGCTGTACACAAAACCCCAATCAACCATCCCTACTATTGTGGCCAAGAAAACGGCAATCAAGGAAGCTGTTCTTGCCAAAGGTGCAACTATGTTTTCGAAACTGAGATCGCAAGTGATAGAAGATGTTGAGAGACTGTTATTGGTATGGATAAACGAAAAACAGATAGCATCTCTCAAGCGATCATATGTGAAAAGGCTAGGAAGTTGCATGACGATTTAATTAGAAAAATGCCAGCAACTAGTGGTGATGTGAGTGAATTTAAGGCCAGCAAAGGTTGGTTTGAGAGATTTAAGAATTGTAGTGGCATACATAGTGTGATAAGGCATGGTGAGGCTGCCAGTTTGGACCAAAAAGCAGCCGAAAAATATGTGCAGGAATTCAAGGAGTACATAGACAGTGAAGGACTGAAACCTGAACAAGTGTTTAATGGTGACACTGACAATGTTGTGAAACACTAGGAATGTCATAAAGGAACGGGAGGTACAGGCCTCTATGGGCAGATATGTTGTGCGACAGAGGTCCAGTGACTCTCAAGCTGGTCCTAGTGGCATTAAAAGAAGAAGGGAAGTAACCCCGAAAAAGGACTTGCCACCTCAAGTCCTAATGGAAGGGGATTTCCCTTCTGAACACTAAGACCATCAACACACTCCCCTCTTCCCATCCCATCAATCATCACCAGATCTTCAATAAAGGTAAGCGTCATGTAACTGTGCATGTCTTCTTCAGTTTGTGTGTATTAAAATTAATATTTCATGTGTTAAAATTTTTTTTTTTCAATGCTTTTGGGTGTCTTGCACGGATTAATTTGATTTCCATTATTTCTTATGGGGAAAATTAACTTGACTAACGATGAGCTCTCAGGAACGGATTAATAGCGTTAGTGGAGGGTCCACTGTATATACATACAGCCTCTCCTTACTTAAGGACGGAGTTCCATTCCTAAGACCATGTCGGTAAATTAATTCATCCCTAAGCAAGGAGCATACTATAATGGTAGTGGGTTTGTGTCAATCATCTTTGATATTGTTTTAATGTTAACTTTGCACCATTTATAACATTTTTAAATGTTTATACAGTAGTGTACTGTATATTGTAATAAACAGAATATAGGAAATCAGAACTAGTATACTACTACTACTACCACCACCACCTCTTCCTGCCTATATATAGCCATCCTGCTCCACTTCTGGTTAGTGTGACTTTGTAAATGGTCCAAGTCGGACCGAAACGTCGTCGTAAGCTTCTCTCTTTTATGTGCGGGTTATTTGTGTATTGTTCCAGTCACGGTATTGTACCTTTTTTTGTTATTTTAGAACTAGCATACATTATTTAGGTATGCATAGTGATCAGAAAGCCTGTCATAAGTCCGAATCGTCAGTAAATGAGTATACCGCTAAGTGAGGAGACACTGTGCTTGAAAGTTGAGGAATGAGACACTTGGGTAAGTTTATTGTGGAAATATTTTGCCAGCCAGTGGCTTCTTCTGTCTAATATAGAAAAGAATGATGGAAAATGAGGTAATCAGTCTCTCAGTCTGGAGTTGATGTGTCTCAGCCCATCAGTCATGATCAAGATTGATGGCCTGAACACATCCACTCCAGGCTGAAGGACTGATTACCTCAAGCTCCTCCACATCTTCCCCCATTCTTCTCTGTACTGGACTGAAGAAGCCACCGGCGGGCAAAATGTTTCCACAATAAACATTCCTAAATGTTGCACAAGTGTCTCATTGGGTGTCATCCGCAAAGGAAGACACGGTGCTGTGGCTTACATCTGTCTATATCAGATATAAGGATGAGGAACAGGATGGGGGCAAGTACAGTGCCTTGTGAAACTGATCTTTTCACTGTAACTACCTCAGATTTTACTCTGTTTACTGTAACTCTTTGTTAGGAAGTTATAGATCCATCTACCAACTTTTCCTGTTATTCCTTTATCATGCATTTTGTGCGCTATCACACAATGGTTGCACTTGTCAAGGGCTTTTGTTCAAACATTGACTTGCAAATGGTTGGTTGACCCGCTAATCGTCGTTCGTCCTGGACGCGTACTCACGGCTCTGAGCCGCCTCGGCCTCCGTTCCCAGCCAGTGTGCCATTGTTTACCAGTGAGCGACGGTCCCCTCACTTGTTCATATGAAATGTTTCATAATATTCCATTCATTTTAGTGCTTGCAAGTGCTAAATAAGCTACCATGGCTCCAAAGAAAGCTCTTGGTAAAGAAGGTGAGAAATATGATTGAATTTAAGAAAAACATTATTGAACAATACGGAAGTGGCGTACATGTGGCCGAACTGGCCAGGATGTATAACAAACCCCATACAACCATATCTTCCATCGTGGCAAAGAAAAAGGAAATCAAGGAAGCTGTTGCTTGGAGAAAATTGTGGCCAGATTGTGTCCACGAGGGATTTTGAAGGGTTTGTGGCTGACCCTGATGAGCCTATGTCAGTTGTGAAATCTATTGTGGCATTGGGGAGTTCCATGGGGTTGGATGTGAGTTTGGAGGATGTGGAAGAGGACCACAACGAAGAGCTGCAAGAGCTTCAGCAGGAACAGCAACAGATCGCAGCTCAGAATCTTTCTGCAGAGGAGGAGGAAGAAAGATGGAAGAAGGTGCCTTCTTCAGAAATTAAGGAGATTTTTGAAATGTGGGGTAGGATGGAAAGATTTATGGAGAAACATCACCCTGAGAAGGAAGTTGCAAGCCATATCGGCAACTTGTACAGTGACAGAGCCTTGGCCCATTTTAGGGAAGTTTTAAAGAGACGCCAGAAACAGAGCTCTCTGGACAGTTTTTTTGCGAGACAGGACTCCAGTGACTCTCAAGCTGGTCCTAGTGGCATTAAGAAACAGAGAAGTAACCCCAGAAAAGCACTTGGTACCTGAGGTGTTGATGGAAGGGGATTCCCCTTCCAAACAGTAACTCAATGTCTCTCCTCCTCCAGTCTTCCATACACTAAGAAGAATCGCCAATAAAGGTGAGTGTTATGCTGTTAATGTTTCATTCATCATGTGCCATTGTATTGTTTATGCACTACATGTATATTTCATGTAAAAAAATTTTTTGTTTTAATACTTCTGGGTGTCAGGAACGGATTAATTGTATTTACATTATTTGTTATGGGGAAAATTGATTCGAAAATCGTCTATTTCGATAGTCATCGCACTTCCAGGAACGGATTAACGATGACAAACGAGGGACCACTGTACTTTACTAGGCAGTAAAAGTAATTAAGTATATTTACAGTGAAATATATACTTCACTGTCTATCCATATACAGTATATACATATGTTGGTTTATATACACTGGTCATCCAGAATATAGGTCAGATTTGAATTATTATAATAGTTTGGCAGCATTTATGATGATGACTTGTTAAATATCCTCTCTACTGTGGGTGACTTGATGCTGGTGAAGTGCTTTTGATCCTAGGAAGTGAAGCTACCCTCTTCTGTGGATCAAAAGTGATCACCTCTTGTGACCAGATAGTTCAACACTCCCCATAATTACCATCTGCATTATCATTTATAAGTATTAACCTTATTATCATTCTCATCTTGTGAATATAATGGTATACAGTATGAATAAATTGATAAGTAAGGTATCTTTAGTCCGAAACGTTTCGCCTACAGGGTAGGCTTCTTCAGTTGAATACAGAGGCAGTAGAAACAGTGATATAAAGACAATGTAATCAGTCTATTTTATCTTATTACCCTGGAAGATGTAATTTTGAGTTGGTCAGTCCCTCAGCCCATACAAGTGTTCAGCTACATAATGTGAATTGTGGTCCTGATTAATAAGGTTATCCTAGCATAACTGCACAAATTAGTTAAAAATCAAACGAATATTTAGGAATTTAAAACATTTACGGTTAGGTTTATTTAGGTATGAGTACACAAGTAGCTACATAAATTTAGGTCATTACAATTATTTTGCATAGTAACATGTAAATTATCTATCAGGATAACTAAAAAAAAAAAAAAAAGGTTTGTGACTTATTTCCATTGGGGACCTTGTAAGATCTTATTAGTAGCCTAGCTCTTATATACAGCAGAATGGGATGGGGGAGGGTAGGTGTGATGAGATTTAAATGCTCTTGATTTGAGGAATTAGAGCTACCCTGTCATTTACTAAAACATTGTATATAAACCAAAGGATGCATGTATCAGTGTATATACACTGATAGTTTACATTATAAACTATTTTAGGTATTAAAGTATTCTTGACTGGTGGTGTACAAGTGACATGTATCTCTCAGAATATTATCAGTTTAAGCACTGAACCTGTAAGGGTCATGCAGCACTGATCTCACAGGATGGTTATTACAGATGAGGGGAAGGGAGAGTGGGTGGAGATTGTGCCAAGAGATGTCTGAATGGAAACCCAAGAATAAAAATAGTCTTGCTTTGAAATGTTTTTCTGACGTCTGCATTGACTTCCGTAGGCCAGTGAAAGTGGCAACTCTCACGTGTTCCTGTTCTCGTGGTGTCTTCCTCTGCTGCCCCCACCCTATGCTGCCTATCACATTATGTGAAGAAAATTGCAGCCTCTTTAATGGGAAAAGTACCGTATGTGGAGGTTGACTGAAGCACCACAACTGGCGAACAAAGGTAGGCAAGCTATTTTTGACCATTTGTCATATTCTATTATTAAGCGAATGTCTCGTGTTGTGGACAAGAGGGTAGTGGTCCTTGGGGCAATACTGGTGCTTTAGGATCAAAAGTGGTCCCTGGGGCTTGTTCAGGGTTAAAAGTAGTTGTGCTTGTTCAGAGTCAGAAGTGGCCTTGTGAATGTCTCAATTTCCATCACCTGCCAATCAGACAACAGAATATCAACACTTGATCAGGGTAAATATAACTATATTTTATGAAGACCAACACATTCATTTGTATTATGATGACTCGAAATTGTAATAACACGATTGTAAACAAATTACAGAACATGTGGGGTTTGAACCCCTGGCAAGTGAGTCTTAAAACTCAGAGCAGTGTGTTAACCACTTATCCAGCCCAGTGGTTAATGCACTGGCCTTCGAGTTTTAGGATTCACCACTGGGGCAAAGCCTATGTGCTCCATTTGTATTATGATTCTGATTGGGAAGTTTCAGCTTTCCTGTGCGATTGTCTCTGATGGGTTGATAAGCCTCCACATCTGTAGCCCTAACTGGTATTACTGCTTTACATATGCTTCTCAGACTCATAAGATTGCAAGCTTGGTGCTAGTTTCTGGATTTGAGTCCTGTTAGACTGACTTTAAGCAAGAACTGCTGTTGATGTCCTCAATTGCTTTTCATATTTAATTTTCCCCCACAAGTTGATGCCATCTTGGTGGTGGGGATGTTTTTATTCATCAAATCAAAATGGGTTCATCATTGGTGTTGGCACCATACTGTATATGATAACTATATAGTGAGAACAAAAGCAGCTTTTCCCTGTCATATTTCAAAACAGAGGATGGTTTTCATACTTGAGGTAATATAATATGTCAGCTTGAACCAGAAAACTTCAATAATTACAAAAGTTTTGCAAATTTCGTTGCAGTAGAGCTTATTTTTTAGAGGGGGGGGGAGGAGATTGTGACCTTTTTTTCCTGAGAGCCAAATAAAAATGTTATAGTAATGTTGACTTTGAAATGTTTTTCTAATAGCAAAATGTACTTCTGTAGGAAAGTCGTGCCTGGATGTGTCCTGCTGCTCGTACCAGGTACTGTGCTGTGTTGCCTGTCACACATTTTTGAAAATAATTGGACATTTGTGTGGCAGAAGTACTACTGGAGGTTGCCTGCAGATCCACCACTGAGTAAAGGTTTATGGATTTTATAATTTGTTTGTTTTCCATTGTTAGGTGAATGATGTTTGTGAGGGAGGGTGGCGGTGATCCCTGGAAAAGGCAGTGCTGGAGTTCCTAAGCTTAAATGATGGATTTCTTTTTCCTTAATGTGATGGATGTACTATGTACCCTTTCTCAACACAAGGACTGAGATAGTTTGTATTCTGCCAAGCAGAATAAAAAGAGCATAGAACCACATTTTAAGATTTCTTGTAGACATAGTGTTTATTTTGAACCATGTATGTAACCAATACTTAAGTAACCTTTCATTACATTTAGAAAAAGCATAGGGGAGCAATGTGATAGATGTTGCAAGTGTATGGAATATTTGGTAAGTTACTGAATGCAAGTCTCAGTTTAAGGTATGTAGGAGAGAGGGAAATTATTTTATAGTGAAAGTAGGCCTTTAGACAGGGATGCATGATATCACTGTTTTTTTTTTTTTATTAACACATCGGCTGTTTCCTACCAAGGCAGGGCGACTAGATAAAGAAGAAACACTTTCATCATCATTCACACCATCACTGTCTTGCCTACATCATAGTTAAAAAACTGCAACATATCAACACCCCCCTCATTTAGACACTGTACTTTCACCTGCAGGACTTTGAGCCCAGCTAACTGGTTTCCCTGAATCCATTCGTGTTACTTTACACACACTCCAACAGCTTGTTGTCATAAAAACCCACTTGCTCATATTTAACATGTTCACGCACACTTGCTGTAAGTCCAAGCCCCTCACATAAAAAAATCTCCTTTACTCCTTCCCTGCCTTCATTCCACTACAAATTTATATGCCCTTCAAGTCATTCTATTTTGTGCTATCTCTATATGTCAAAACCACCTCAACAACCCTTCCTCTACCCTCTGGAAACCCCGCACCTCCTTATCTCAAGCTAGGGATTGTCCTAATTATATTCACACTGCCCTCAGGTGCATCACTGCTTGATCCTAACACTTTGTTTTGATTAAACAGTGGAACCTTGGCTTATGAGCCCCCCCACCATGCGAGTTTTCCAGGATATGAGCCGTCACTCAGTTGATTTTTTGCTTCTGGATACAATTATTATTATAATAAAAAAGAAGCGCTAAGCCACAAGGGCTATACAGTTCTGGATACAAGCTTCACCCTCAATGGAGGTTCCTTGATGCTGGTGAGGGGTTCTTGAATCTGTGCTCTAGTTCCCCAAATTAATAATAATAATAATAAGCGAGTTTCAGAACATCACCAGATCTGTGCAATGTGTTTATGTTGCAGTGGAAGCATTTCTTATGTTATTATTGCCAAATTTCTTTTTTCTAACCATGGGTCCTAAGAAAATAAGGGGAAAGGACAGTACTGAGAAGAAAAAGAGGATGATGTCTATGGAATTACATGAAATCATAGATAAACAAGTGAGGTGTGCGGTGGCAGTAGGAGCTAGTAGCCTATCTTCCACTCTCCACACTTTATTTCTTTACATTCTCCATTATGTTTTTATACAATATTTCTTATTTATGAAACTAGTGCAGTTAGCCTCACAAACACATTGTTTTCTCTTATAATAAAAGCATGAGAAGATATAGTCAGCGGGAGAGGGAATGGACGCTGCTGCCACCACTTGCCATATTATGGCCTATTTTATTCATGTAGAGTATAGTATATCATATTAGATGAATTGTGATAGATATACAAGCCATAGAGTTGTATTGAAGTACGCTAGGTCACGGAACAGATTAAAGTCATAAGCCAAGGTTCCACTGTCTCCATCCTTGTTGTTGCAACACTCAACACCCATATAAGAGTATTGGTACCACTGTACTCTCATACATTTCCTTTATTTACACAGTGCTCCACTCACCTTTTTCCCCTCATCAATTCTATGATTCATCAACCCATCTGCTGACAAGTTCACTCCCAAATACCAGAATACATTCACTTCCTCCAATATTTCATTACTCTTCTCTTTCCAAGATTCATTTTTAATTTCCTTCTTTTACATACGTTTTCAAACTCCCCCAAAAGCATAGTGTTATCCGCAAAAAGCAACTGGGATAACCCACTTTGTATTAGATTTTTTATCTCTTGCCAACACCTGAGCATTCACTTCTCTTACAACCGCGCAACCATGGGGACATCACACATCCGTGTGTAAGGCATACTTTTACTGGGAAATATCTCCCTCTTACATACTCTATCCTTGTAAACACTTAATTGCCTTCAATCACCATGGTTGTTTAACATCTTTATAGATGGGGTAAGAGAAGTGGGATTAAAAGATAAAGGATATAATACAAAGTGGGAGTTACCAGTTTCTGCTGATGACACGATCCTTTTTGGGATTCTGAAAGAGAAGTTGTAAAGGTTGGTAAACTATATAAAAGAAGGAAATTAAAATTGAACGGTAATGAAAAATTTATTGAGAGAATGGAAATGGGGGGGTGCATGGAGACAAAAGAACCTTATCCATGATATTGCATCTCTGCTTCCTTTCCCCTATTATTAGTTTGTGGCCACAATTGATAATATATTAAAATCTAATGTTACTTGACAAAGTTAATGGCTAGGAGTTAAACTTTCAAGATTATCACCAATAAACTCTTGTGACCTACCTAACCTTCACGCTTGTTCGAGTCAATAAAATGACATTTTTCTTCTATTGTATAAAACTCTGAAGACTAGATATTCTAATCTGAAGGAATTATTATAATCAAAAAGAAGTGCTAAACAATACTCTGAAGGAATATCTATATGTTTGTGCTCTGTAACCATAATCTAGAAAACGAATGTGCAATTAATATTATTGGCAAATATTATCTTTTATATTAGTCTTCAATAAAACTTATTTAAATGTAGTTGAAGATTATGCTATGCATAAGGCCTTTTATAGACCTGGGAGCATGACAATGATGGCAAAGGGGAATATATACCTTATTAGTAGTGAAGCATGGATTTTCAATATTAGTGAGGAGGCTGGGATTCACTATGAATATTATGCAGAGAACTAAGTTTTGGGATTAGATAAACAAAATAAAATGACTATGGAAGGCAAGATTATTATAATCAAAAAGAAGCGCTAAGCCACAAGGACTATACAGCATGGAAGGCAAGATTAAAATAAGTGCTAAACCCACAAGGGTCATATATCAAATCAAAGGTTGGAAAGGGGTAATTATTATTATAATCAAAAAGAAGCGCTAAGCCACAAGGACTATACAGCTGGAAAGGGGTAAATAAAGCTAGGTGAGGGGCTTAAACATTTTATATTTCATATACTTGAGTGGAAGGTTTTATGATATGACATACTATTAGAGTAAAATAATTAAGATCAAGGAAATTGGTTAGCCATACTAGTCTTGCACTTTGAAGGATGGGTAGAGATATATGAATTGATAAAGACATTGAGTGAATGATGGTAAATGTTTTTCTTAAGGCCACCCAATCTCAGCAGCAGATAGGCAGTGTGTTGATAAAAGAGACACTTTTGTGCAACATTTAGATATCTTTATTTTTAAAATGTTTTGCCAGCCAGTGCCTTCAGTCTAATTCAGAGAAAGGCAAATGAGATTGAGGTAATCAGCCTAGAACTGTAGTATTCATTTCATCAGTCTTGTTGAAAATGCAGTATATTCATGGGGCTTATATACTGCTGACAAACGAGGTGGTCAAAAAAAAAACCCACTAGCAAAAGTAGGTTAGACAAGTTTTGAAGAGGAAAAATATTTCTCCCTTCCTTAGGGATGGAGTGATGATGTCCAGTCATCGTGTACTCCTGTGGTCCATAACTTGATCTTTGCCTCACCTGAAAGGAGAAAATTGATTTAGTAATCATAATTTATTTTTATTATAATCAAAATCAGATAGAAACATTATGGACAACTGACTGAGCATGTGATCATCAAAATTGAACATTTAATAGCAAGAAAATCAAGCAAATGTTCCCAGTCTAGAGACGTTTCAGCAACGCCCTCGACAGCCTACATAAAAAAATTATTCTTGGTTATATTCTATTATCTGAGAGGGCAAATTTTATACAAGATAGGCCTGGGGACATTAATGAACAGGAAAATTTGATTAAGCTGCAATAATATTAAATGATAAAAGTTAGATGCACCTGGGAGTGACAGAAAAAAGGGTGTTTATAGCAAATCAGTATTTGAAGCAAGAGATTGTATTGATATGAACTGGATGCAATGATAGTAGTTGATAAGAAAGTTTAATGGGGAAGATTTCGGATGTACATGATTTTTAAAGGTACAAAGAGATGTCTGATATTATTATATAATCAAGGGGAAGCGCTAAACCCGTAGGATTATACAGCGCCCAGGGGGGGATGTGGAAGGCATTCAGGCTTAATTCGGGGAACTGGAGCACAGATTCAATTCCCTAAATCAAGAGCCCCTCACCAACATCAAGGAACCTTCCATGAGGGGATCATTAATGATAGCTAGAGTAAGAATTAGATGGTACATGGAGACTTGCCCTCTCAGATAAAAGAATATAACCAAGAATGATTGGTCATGGTTTAGACCCAATAAAATACACCTACCATCCGACTTACGACCGTGTTTTTTATGCCAAATTTTTGGGAAATAAACAACTTTGTGCTGTACACAGTGTTTATCCTAAACCTTACAGTATAAAATACAGTACTAACATAAAAAGTAAAGTAAAACATGAAATACCAAAATAAAACAATAAAATAAAGTCATTACAAAAATGTTTTGTTGATATTCAGTAGTAAAGTTCGACTTACGACCGGTTTCTCGGAACTGAACTCGGTCGTAAGTCGGATGGTAGGTGTACCATAAAACACAGGAAAATTGCAAAAATCAAATATTTCTGCCACTTTCAGGCCACTTCTAAATCTGACCAAAATCATAAAAATCACCCTAGAAAATGCCCTAAAGTTGTCATTTTAAACCAAACTATCAGAAAGGTCACTGTTCCCATTATGCACTGTGGCAAGCTTTTTTTTTTTTGTTATAATATGTACATCCAGAAATCAATCATGCACTGCATATTTGAGGGCACAGTGATTAAGTCAATTTTCAACAGCAGAATCTTTGTTAAAGCCTATGAACGTGTTTACAAATGTCACAAAATTTTCTTTCGTGTGCCGTTCATACATTGCTTTGTGAATTCTTTCCATACTGAAGCAATGTTCCTGATACCAGCATCAGTAGAAAGTATCATACAGCACATCGCTAGCCCAGGAAAAGATCAAAGTTTGATGACTGCCGAATACGCATCGCTATCACACCTCTGTAAAGTTGAACAATTGTAAAGCAAGGAGCATCTGTAAATACATTCACTTCCCCCATACTGCCTCACTCCACTGATATTCAGCCTGTCATTGCCTATCCTCTTGCAGTTTTCTACATTCACTTTAAATTTTCTTCTTCTTTAACTTACCCTCCAAATTCATCCACCTACCTTTTTATTTTGTCTTCAGTATCTCTAAAAGATGTGTACTGTCAGCAGAGAGCAACTGGCATAACTCTCACATTCAACATCTTGTATTCCCACACCTCTTCCTAATACCCTAGTGTTTACATCCTTTACTACTCCAGCTATAAATGTTAAATAAACTACAGTGACATAGACAAGGGATGCATAATGTCTGCTTTTACTTGAAAATAATCTTATGCCTCCTACATACTCAAACCTTAGCCTTATTATCCAAATAAACATAACTTTTTGTAACAACCTACCTGTTCCATACACTTGCAACATGACTCTTGTATTCTATCTACCTTTTATGATTTTTCTAGATCCATAAATGCAACAAACCTGTATCTACATACCTCTCACTTACATGGTTCAAACACTTAGTATATGCATCCTCTACCCTTGCTGCTCTGCAGTCCTATTTTCTATTACCACTCTCTCAATAATAATTCTAATCATAATCTGGTATACTCAGTAGGTGTTGTCCCTTATAATTCTTACATTCTCTATTGTCCCCAAATTCCTTACACAAGGAGCTGCAAGCTCTGCCAATTATTTAATGTATGTATTGAACAACCACTCCAACACCTTATGCCTACCTGCTTTAGCATCTGTCTTGGCTCCATCTATCCTAGCAGCTTTATCACCTTTCATTTTACACACACTTCCCACGTCCACCTCAGGATATTCTTCGTTCATTAACATTATCTGTGCCCAGTGTATGAAATCAGTGCCTCCCATGCATCAACAACATTAATAAATGCCATGTGCAACATCTGAATAACTTTATTCTGCACAAGTGTCTCATTTATCAACTTGTTAGTTTTGTAAACCATTTATTCACATCAACATTTAACATGTTACAATATCCTCTCCATGTTTCTAATGCCTCCATCTCCCCTCTTTTGTTCTGTTAGGTTCATATGCTTTCTAGGCTTCCTCACTTTACTGAGCTCTCTTCAAAACAACAACAACACTCTCAGCAGAGTTTGCTGATAGGGCCTTGCTGCCCATTTATTCATTACTTTCCTTTTGCATTACCTCTCCAGATATACCCTCTTTACCTCATCATTCCCGAGTTGCTCCTCTTTCCACCTGCACTTGCCCTCCTATACCCACAAACCTTTACTGCACACACTACCAGTGTATTCTTAAATTTACCCTATACCTGCTCCTCATCTGCAACTTCTCTAACTCACCCTTTCCCCAGTAGTTGATTATATCTTTTCCAAAAGTCTCCCCCACATTAATTTATTTTCACCATTACTGGAGGGTAAGTTAAAGAAGAAAATTTAAAGTGAATGTAAAAAAGGGCAAGATGATGAGGGTAACAAGTCTAGGCAATGACAGACTGAATATCATAGCAGAGCGAGGCAGTGGATGTATTTACAGGTGCTCCTTGCTTTATGATGGTTCAACTCGACAAAGATGCGTTAGCAATGCATATTCAGTAGTAGTCAAACTTTAATCTGTTCCTGAGTGATGGCACTGTCAGGAACACTGCTGCAGCATAGGAAAAAGTCACAAAGCAATGTATGAATGGTATATGGAAGAAAGCTTTAAACACGTTCAAAGGCTTTAATAAAGATTCTGCTGTTGATGAAATAAGATTTATATGTATTCATTCATTTTATTTTTCAATACTGGTATTTAGTTAAAGTAATTATATGCTTATGTCATTCATATTCAACTTAAGACTTAGATATTTTCAATTTAGAATGGATTCATCAAAACATAACACCATCATAAGTCAAGGAGCACCTATACAATGTATATTCAAGAGTGGACATGCCAGCAGATAGATCTGTGAAACAGTCTAGATGAAAGAAAGAAAAAGGGAGAGTGATATGCTGAAGTATCTGTGGAAAAGTTTATCCATGGAGGGAAAAGAAAATGTATCAGTGTAGTGGTACTAACATTTTGTGGGTATGAGGCAGTGAAAAGTAGGCTAGAAGCAACAGAGATGTCATGTTCAAGAGCAACAAGTGGTGCTAATATGTAGAGATTTCACAGTGTAGAAATTAAAAGGTGATGTGGGGTGACCAAAAGTATAATTCAAGAGTTGAGGTAGTTTGAGCATGCAAGGTAGAGTGAGATAGGTTGGCAAAGGTGTATAAATCTGGAGTAGAAGGTAAGAGAAGGGGTTGTCTCGGGAGGTACAAGAGGCTTGAGCATCCAGCAAGCTTTTGAGTGTGTTAGATAAGAGTGCATGAAGACAAGTGGCAACTGAATGAATGCTGGTGTTTTCTTTGCATCACCCTGCCTTGGCAAGCTATGGCCATAGAGTTATGAGATATATATATGTACAGTATGACCTTGCTCCTCAGGAAAAAATGGATTTCATTAATGAACTATTCACATTTAATATATTTTCTCTCTTACAGCATGAAGAAACCAGTGAGAAAGTTACGCCATAATCACAATTTCTACGTTCATCAAGTTGACTTCCCAAACAAGTAGCCACCAAAAGCAATTGCAGGTTATCAAATCTCTGAAGCCACATAAATGAAGAACAATTACATGGAAAATACATCATGAAGCAGCGTAGTGCATGGGAAATAAAACTACTTAATCACTAGCTTGTTAACCTACATGAAGCATTGTTAGTAAATAAAAATCCCCTACATATAAACCTTTAATCCACAATAATAATAAATGCAATAAGCCTCAATGCGTATGCAATGGAAATAAAAATTAAACTATGATTCATTTACTAACATTTAATCTATGGAAGCACGTGGCATGTACAATGAAACAACTTAATTCTGAAATGTTTTAAAACAATGATGCATGTTGTAAAGTATTAAAACACCTACATATAAGAACTGTGATTCCTTGTTAGCAAGAAAATGTTAGGAATATTGTTTTCTGTTCTTCTCTTACAAAACTTTCAAAAAAAATTGGTATTGTTCAAGAAGTCACTAGTGAGATATTGCAAAATACTTCATAAAAATAAATGTAAGATTTCAAATGTATCTGTTGTACAGGCATACATAAATCATCATTGGAAATCTAACGGATTTACCTCCCAATGTCACAATTATTAAGATTATTAACTAAGTGCTTTTGTTAGTGAGAGTCAGAAATTGGTTCCTAATTCTTCTTCACAATATTTCTGATGGGACAAAATTCACTAGTACTGAGACCTGATACATATAATTCGGGAGTGCAAAAATATATCAGTTACCGGGTCCACTGTATTTGGAGAAAGTTTCACACAAGTATTCTATATTCCCTGTAACACAGGTGAGAAAGATACATGATAATATATACTTGGAAAATCCTAGAGGGATTAGTACCAAACCTACGAAAGCAAGACTCGGCAGGAGATGCAACATTCCCCCAATGAAAAGCAGGGGCGCCATGAGTACACTAAGAGAACACAATAACTGTCAAGGGCCCAAGACTGTTCAATTGCCTCCCAGCACACGCAAAGGGGATTACCAACAGATCCTGGCCGTCTTCAAGAAGCATTGGACAGACCCCTAAAGTCAGTACCTGATCAGCCGACTGTGGTTTGTACATCTGTTTACATGCAGCCAGCAGTAACAGCCTGGTTAATCAGACCCTGATCCACCACAAAGCCTTGGTTTTGGGGTGCTGACCCCCGAAACCCTCTCCAGGTAAACTCCAGGAGGCCACTTCATAAGAAATACAATTATTGCTATTAGCTACACTTTTCAAGATTTTTTTTTCAAAACATTGGCCATTTCCAACCAAGGCAGGGTGACCCAAAAAGAAAGAAAGAAAGAAAAAAAAAAACGAAGAAAAAGCTTTCGATACTGTTCAACACTTTCACCATCATTCATACATAATCGCTGTCTTTGCAGAGGTGCTCAGATAAGACCATTTAGATGCCACACTAAACTGCCAACGTCGCAAACCCCTCCTTTAAAGTGCAGGTATTGTACTTCCCACCTCCAGGACTTTAGTCTGTAACTGGTTTCCCTGAATCCCTTCACAAAATAGTACCCTGCTCACACTCACACACGCTTGCTGGAAGTCCAAGCCCCTTGCCCACTAAACCTCCTTTACTCCCCTCCCTCCAACCTTTCCTAAGACAACCCCTACCCCACCTTCCTTCTACTACAAATTTATATGCTCTCCAAGTCATTCTACTTTGCTCCATCCCCTCTAAATGACAAAACCATCTCAACAACCCCTCTTCAGCCCTCTGACAATACTTTTAGTAACTCCACGCTACAAATTCTCTGCATAACATTTACACAACACATTGCCCTTAGACATCTTCACTGCCTTCAGCCTCCTCACTGCAGCATTTACAACCCATGCTTCACATCCATATAAGAATGTTGGTACCACTATGCTCTTGTATATTCCCTTCTTTGCCTCCATGGATGACGTTTTTTTTGTCTCCAGATACCTCAAAGCACCACTCACCTGTTTTCCTTCTTCAATTCTATGATTAACCTCATCCATCATAAACCCATCTGCTGACAAGTCAGTTCCCAAAATGTCTAAACACATTCACCTCTTCCATACTCCCTCCAATGTGATATCGCCTTACTCTTATCTACGTTCACTTTTAACTTTCTTCCTTTACACACCCTCCCAAACTCATCCACTAACCTTTGCAACTTTTCTTTAGAATCTCCCAAAAGCACAGTATCATCAGCAAGAAGTAACTGTCTCCTCCCATTTTGTATTTGATTTCCCATAATTTAATCCTACCCCTCTCCCCAACACCCTACCATTATTCCCAAAAATAATAATGAGGGGATTCCTCTTACCAGGTAACTGTACTGAAGCAGAAAGGTGGAGTCTGCTATGGGTCACAATGGCTAGTTTTCCCTTCTCCACACGTGGCCACTGTAATAAAATAGAATGAGAAAGGTGCAGGCTAATCAAACACACTAATTTACATATATAAATAGCAATGGATAAATGTGTTTTAAAACATTACTTGAGTCAAGCTGAAATACTTATATTTCCTTGCTTTCAGCAACATGTGTTCCTGTACCATGGTATAGTGAACTTACAACTTCCACTACCAGCATTACCTCTACAACTGCTACTCCACTTTCCTCTCTTCATCCTGTCCTTGTCCTACTCTCCTACATATACTGGCTCCCTCACCTTCGTGTGTTAGTGTGACTTGTAAATGGTCCAAGTTAGACTGAAACATCATAAGCTTTTCTCTCCTATGTGCTGGTTATTTGTGTATTATAAACGTGAGTGTGTGCACACTGAGAGTATATACTTCCCTAATACTATATGATTAACAGTCAACATATACTGACAATCATACTAAGGCATTCCGCTGCTGAATCAACTTGCTTAACAACTAACATGACAAGAAACTCTGTACTTGATAAGGAGTGTACATACACACACCAACCCTTCACTGATCTACATTTCCCTTCCTTTTTCATCAAAGACTGCAAGAAAAGAGCCCTTCAGATCATCAATTCTCCACGCACTAACATCACTCCTAACAAAGTTATAATATTTCCCTACAGTTAGGTTGCAATGAATGTCTCTAAAGTACTTGCACAAGCTAACACTAGAGTGGCCATTGCAACTAGTACTTCCATAAGAGATCTAGGACAAAACTGACAAAAATTGAGCCAATCAACACAGGAGTTTATATTATCCCCCATGGAGGTTGTGATAGAATATACATAGGTGACATGGTAAGAATCTTGAAACACAAATGCATGTAGGAATGACTAAGTTGAACAATGCCTGCGCACAACATCGAAATTCTGCCAATCACCTGACGAAATTTAACAATGCCCAGCTAGTGATCAAAGAACCCAATTTCTGTAGATGTAATGCCTTGATTCATCATTAATCACTATTTCTAACACAACCAAACAGAATAAACGCACCTTCATTATCTCTGAAACATTGGCAAGAATTCTCAGAACAATAAACTCTGCCACCACATAGCTGCTACAACTACTACAACCACAAGTATTACTACTACTTACAACGATTATATTATGTTTTGTACCTCACTCTGTACCTATATATTCCTCTGTGTCCCTGTATTATTTGTAATGGCTTGACAAAGCTCCTGGAGAGTGAAACGTTGCCACAATAAAATGTTACATTAGTTGCACTTGTGTCCTTTTATTTAGCAAGACCTGCCTTGTATGGGCCTACTGCACTGTTCCTCCATTCTTATGATGTTGCATATATTGACAGTCATACTGAATCATACCACCAATGGATCAACTTGCTTAACAACCAACATACACTGACACACATTAAGCTTCTTGCTAATTTAGATAATTTACAATCTGCACAACCACCAAGGAGGAGTCTAATTTACCAGTCACAGCTCACAATAGTACATACAAATAGTACACAGATTCTTTGTGATTAATGAACATACAAAAACCATAAAATCATGTTTGCATCTTTTACTAATATATGCAGTTTGTTTGCCATTAACACCTTGGTGACTGCCTCTATTTCCACCACTGCTGTCATCACCGCTATGATAATTATCACCTTGTCGGCCTTCCTATGTCTGCTGCCACCATCTATGTTCCTGTGCAAAAAAAATCCACATTAAAGTGATGACTATTCTTAACTGTGACCCCTACAGAAAGGGAGGGGAATGATTTTCTATTTTTTAGCTAACATACGTGTAAATTTTACCTTATTCCTTGTAATGACCCTCGTATTGTAGATAGTCTTAATGACCTTGGTGTAGCAGATAGTCTTTTTAGTATGATAATAAGATGTTATCTTCATTGTAGAATAATAAGAAAATATTATAAATATTAATATTATAAAATAAATATTATAAAATAAATATTATAATAAATAATAAATAATAAATAAATAATAAATATTATAAATATTAAAAATAAATATTATAAAAAATATATTATAGTAGGTTGGTAGACAGCAACCACCCAGGGAAGTACTACCATCCTGCCAGATGACTGTGAAACAAAAACCTGTAACTGTTTTGCATGATGGTAGGATTGCTGGTTTCTTTTTCTGTCTCATAAACACGCTAAGATAACAGGGATATCTTGCTACTCCTACTTTCACTTTGGTCACACTTCACAGACACACACATGCATATATATATACATACATCTAGGTTTTTTTCTCCTTTTTTTTAAATAGCTCTTGTTCTTTTTTATTTCTTCTATTGTCCATGGGAAGTGAAAAGAATTCGCTCCGTAAGCCATGCGTGTACGATGAGGGGTTACAAAGATCCGGGCAAGAGGATTGGACAGTACCATTGTATACATTACTAAAAGAGAAGGAACTTTATAAGACTGGGTAAATGGGTAGGAGTGTTGCAAGTTGGATTGGGGAGGATCCCGACTGGTATTGAGGAATTGTAGTTGGTAGGAAAAACTGGGGGTAAGAGTTTCAAGGGGGGAAAAAATGGGAAAAAAAGAAGTATGAAAGTTGTAGCTAGGGGTAGCATTTGATTAAATGATCTTTTTTGGAAGGTGTAGAATGTTGTAATTCAGAAAAGTAGTAAATTAGGCAGGTTTGTACTTAATTCAGGCTTAGTCTGAATGTTGTGAGGGGTAAAAATTGGGATGTAATGTAGAGCTTTTGAAGTCCAAAGTTGATAAG